TTAATAGAATTGGAGGTGCCTTATCTTATTGTATGGTAGGCTTAGTCCACCAGGTATAACTGGGATGTTGACACCAAATTATCCTCGTGAGAGGCTAGCTTCCATCACCCAAGTAACTGATGTACCAAGATTAATTCTTGCTTCCTCTTCTTGTTCCTGTCAAAGGGGACTAACTGTAAAGCCGGAATCCTAATGTATGACAGCTATATCAGAGAAAACTCTGTATATTATTAGATAAGGACCAAGGCTTAATTACCTGTGTTGAGTCGACTGCTCGTGTTCTAACCGGAAATAGTCCTATCTAACATAACATTACTGGCCAATAATGACTTAGATAAGATTTCGGAAAGACACTTCCCTTGTGGTTGTTGACAGCGTGTTGATGATGGTAGAACACTTAAGTTCATCTCCATAACACTGCGTCCAAGAGAATTATAGGAGCGGAATTTGCTCCAGTGACTCTGGTCTTAACAATGGCTGACCTTCACTGCTACTGACGCTACTGGCTCACTTTGTCCAGATGTCAATAAGTGATAGAAGGGTCACATTTACTCTATTTTGATACTGATAATTAAGTTAATTCAAATGAGATGTTTTTATGATATTAAAAGTCCAAAGACTAATGTATTTAAGAATAATTCCCAACAGAATAGCTGGTGAATTTATAGTACTATGTGACAATGATATCCCGTTTTCTATTGACGGAAAATTCCACTACAAGCTACATTTTCTATGGATTAACTTGTTTATACAACGGCAGCAGCAATATTATCTGTCTATTGCATGTAATATTATTAAATGGTGTCGGGTTTTCCGACAGTACAGGTTGCGTAAGTGTTTACATAAACGCTTGATGAATGCTGGAACCAGTAATCAAAACAGTGGTACATCACACGCCGCAGCCCTACACAGGATCCTGGTGCTCTAGTGAATGATTTCTGCTTGTAATAACGGTGGTTTGTTGTTCATATACGCCAGTATTTGATTCGCATATGTACTAGAGTATGAGGTTGTTACAGCGAGTCACCCATAACCAACAGGTGTGGTGAGGAACAAGCACGTGACGGACGGTCTGCCCTACACCACCCTCATGTTCACTACTGGTCCGGGGTACAACTACACCTGGGATGGACACAAGGTAGGTGGCTTGTGTTGTGGCCACAGCCTTGCGTCCAGGCTCTGGCCATGTGTTATGCTTACACTGTGGCCACGCGTTGTGTCCATGTTTTTATAATGCTATATTGGAATATATGATATTTATAACTCTTCTTGTGATTGAGGATCGATGCCACATGTGATCTTCTTTACAAGTCCTCGAGCCTATTAAACCAGCTGTACTCTAATTGACGCTAATGGGTGGCCCATAGGTAACGAGGCCCAACCTGACAGGGGTGGACACTGGCCACAAGGACTACGTCTCCCTGGCTGCCGTGCCTACAGTTGATAACAAGGAAACACATGGAGGAGAGGACGTGGCCGTGTTCGCTACAGGTACACGATCCCAGCTCGTACTTGTGTGTTTTGAGGTACAGGTGTTGTCTGCAAGTGTAGCCATGTACTCACCATCTTCTTATCTTGAGGTTATCTTGAGATGATTTCGGGGCTTTTAGTGTCCCCGCGGCCCGGTCCTCGACCAGGCCTCCAAACCATACCATCTGTATTTTTTTCAAACTTAAATTCCCAGAAATTCCAAGAACGTAGCTTATTCTAAGTTACAAAATCATCAATCTAAATCTCTATATAAACTTTTTCTGTTGTTTACAGGTCCAATGAGCCACTTATTCCACAGGGTACACGAGCAAACCTTCGTGGCCCACGTCATGGCTTTCTCCGCGTGTATTGGGCCATACAAGGACAGTTGTACTCGGCTCTTGAAGGAATCTGCCAAAGATGTTGTCATTCATGGTCCCGAGGGTAATACAAAGAATGGCTGTCGTTGCGACTCAAATATAGGCAATGGACATGGTCATAATCACTCACATTCCAGTCATGGCAGCCAGCTGGGCATGGCTGATGAAAACCAAACACATACGAGTTCCGACAACCAGCTAGGGAAGGACCGTGGACATGCTAAGAGCTTCCACCAGGTTAACAAGGAAGGCGACCCGGAAATGCACACAGAACAAGAAGACGTCGATGTTGACTTTGCGTCGAGAACCTCAAACGTCCACACGAAGCACCTCAATAACCACAAGCTAAAAGGCGGCTCCTCGAGACTCGCCCCAAGCTACACCGCTCTGTTCCTGCTCGCCCTGCTGGGTTTAAACTGTCGCTTACTCCTTCGTTTTAACTCGCTGTAGATTCCTGCAAGGTTTGGACTGTTTCATCAGTCAGATAGCAGGATGCCTAAGTTAACTGCTCACCTGCTTAACTAGCTGCTTAAACTGAATAGTAAACAGCTTTAAGCACGATATTTGTTTATTGCTTCTACCTATCTAAGAGCTATGTTGTAATTACTTTGTGCAGCGAAACATGACCTGAAGTCACATAAGACAATGGGACGTGACCTGAAGTCACACAAGACAATGGGACGCGATCTGAAGCCATACAAGACAATGGGACGTGATCTGAAGCCATACAAGAAAATGGGACGTGACCTGAAGTCACACAAGACAATGGGACGTGATATGAAGCCATACAAGACAATGGGACGTGACCTGAAGTCACACAAGACAATGGGACGTGATCTGAAGCTATACAAGACAATGGGACGCGATCTGAAGCTATACAAGACAATGGGACGCGATCTGAAGCCATACAAGACAATGGGACGTGATCTGAAGCCATACAAGACAATGGGACGTGACCTGAAGCCATACAAGACAATGGGACGTGATCTGAAGCCATACAAGACAATGGGACGTGATCTGAAGCCATACAAGACAATGGGACGTGATCTGAAGCCATACAAGACAATGGGACGTGATTTAAAGCCATATAAGACAATGAGACGTGATTTAAAGCCATATAAGACAATGGGACGTGATTTAAAGCCATACAAGACAATGGGACGTGACCAGAAGCCGTACAAGACAATGGGACGTGACGAGAGATGATTCAACACAGTGGCGGCAGTCACATACAACCTCACTGAAATTAAGTCCCACATTTGATAACAATATGGGAGGACATGATTTATGTTTACAATGAAGGAAAGGGTTTAACATATTGGATATAAAAAGGGGTTTCAAAACGTAACCATTAAGTCATTTTAGTAGTAGTAATGTCTTCTCACAGACATAATAATAAAGGATAAAAACCCCAAACTTGTGTTTTTGTGAATTTTATGTAAGGAGTTTACACCAAGTCTTTCGCACTCTCCTGAGTGCTTTATCAAGGTCTAAATGTGTGATTAGGTTGAGACATACATCTCATCGTCTAATTAAGATTCATTAAGCGTTGAGATGTAAGTCTCGTCCTAATCACACAGTCAGCAGAGGTCACGACCTCTCCGTAGGGTGTAGTCGCACCTCCACAGATCTCCAGTATCAGCTAATGATACTGGTAATGGCTCCAAAGGGCCACCACTTACGGGCTATTCATGCTCGTGCCACCTTTTGGGTGGCTTAATCTTCATCAATCAACCAATCACACACTCAGACTTTGATAAAGCACTCAGGAGAGTGCGAAAGACTTGGTGTAAATTCCTATCTTACGTATAAATAGTAAGGAATAAAGCTTGTGATTCTGATACAACACCAAGTGACACCAGAAGTTGTTTACAGGGCCGAGAGAACCGGAACTGAGAGGAGTAACTGAGAGGAGGAGGAACTGAGAAAGGGAAATGGGAGAAAGGGAATAAGAAAAGGAAGGAAGAAATAAGAAAGAGAACAGAGTGTGTGGGGAAATACCATGATTGTTAACAAGGGAGAATTACTTAGGATTTTAAATTTACTAAAATAAAAATGACCATGTAAAAATAAAAAAATAAAGTCCATAGCTAGGGTTGTAAATCCTAATTCTCTAGTCCTAGGAAGGGCAGTGGTCTGTAAAGGGAGGGTGGGGGGGATGGGGGAGGCAGGTAGATTCCTGAAGGGTGTATAGAATTGTTGATTGGAGATCCACAATCTACATGCAGGTATTTCAACAAGGCAATGAGACGTAACCAGCTTGTATTTTATACAAGGATAAAACCCAGTTCTATGACAGTGATCACTGGATCTGTTCTAGATCAAAGATCTGAACCATATACAGTTTAGCCTAGCTCTAATATTATTGCAGCAGCCAATAATCTATTATACTAATATATACAACAAGGTAATTGAATATTACAAGTAAGATATATGCAAATATGCAAAAAATATACTATTCAATATGATGAACTAATATAATAAATTAATGTTAATTGTTTTAGTAATTAATTATGCGATGAATGAGAATTATAGAATAAAATATATATATATATATATATATATATATATATATATATATATATATATATATATATATATATATATATATATATATATATATATATATATATATATATACATATATATATATATTAGTATATTTTGGTAGCAGTCTTTCCTGTAGACATATATTATTAAATATGACCGAAAAAGTAAGATTAATAATTCTAACACGAATTTTCTCAATCTTTCGTACATTTCTTTTCACTGTTGGAGGTAAATCAAAAATCAATTCTCCAAAATTCATTTTTATTTCTAGTCTGACGCGACACGAGCGCGTTTCGTAAAACTTATTACATTTTCAAAGACTTTAGTTTACAAATACACAACTGAATAGAACTTACGCATCTCCGATTTTATATCTACATTTGAGAGAGGTGGATGGGGTGAGGTGGTATTAATAGGGTATTAATTTCATCAACACAAGACAGAACAAGAGGTGGCATTAATAGGGTATTAATTTAATCAACACAAGACAGAACACGAAACAATGGGTATTGAATAGAAGTGATTGAAGAAAGCCTATTGGTCCATATTTCTTGATGCTTCTATATTGGAGCGGAGTCTTGAGGTGGGTAGAATATAGTTGTGCATTAATTGGCTGTTGATTGCTGGTGTTGACTTCTTGATGTGTAGTGCCTCGCAAACGTCAAGCCGCCTGCTATCGCTGTATCTATCGATGATTTCTGTGTTGTTTACTAGGATTTCTCTGGCGATGGTTTGGTTGTGGGAAGAGATTATATGTTCCTTAATGGAGCCCTGTTGCTTATGCATCGTTAAACGCCTAGAAAGAGATGTTGTTGTCTTGCCTATATACTGGGTTTTTTGGAGCTTACAGTCCCCAAGAGGGCATTTGAAGGCATAGACGACGTTAGTCTCTTTTAAAGCGTTCTGTTTTGTGTCTGGAGAGTTTCTCATGAGTAGGCTGGCCGTTTTTCTGGTTTTATAGTAAATCGTCAGTTGTATCCTCTGATTTTTGTCTGTAGGGATAACGTTTCTATTAACAATATCTTTCAGGACCCTTTCCTCCGTTTTATGAGCTGTGGAAAAGAAGTTCCTGTAAAATAGTCTAATAGGGGGTATAGGTGTTGTGTTAGTTGTCTCTTCAGAGGTCTCCAGACACAAAACAGAACGCTTTAAAACAGTCCAGAGAAGAAGGCGCGCCGGGCGTCCAGTCTCCCAAGTTGTTGTTGTGGTTGCCGGGGAGATAACCTAATTGATCGTGCAGCTACAAACTATACAAGTCTTCACCGGCCTTCGTTACTTTACTAGTTCTAAGAGTAGTTGATAATTAGTTCACTCATTAATAATCAACAACAAGCTCAAGTCTGAATGCTCTGTGAGAAACAAGATTCGTCTTACGTTTGGCAAGGGCGACGGGAATAAGGCATACGGTTTTAAGGAGCTCTGATATCAATATTATTGTAATTAAATATCCTTCTCCATGATCCAATTCTATGAATTAATGTAAGGTAATTCTTTAGAGCTCAAATTGACCTCTGGTTTCCATCTGAGGAACCCAGGGTCGTAACAGAGGCCACAACGGTAACACGTACGGGGCTGACGAGCGTAATACACCCGAACATAGCACAGCAGAAGCTTCACTTGAGACGGAATATCCGCCCGCAGCCTCATTCCTAGGGTGCGAATATTCGACCGCACACCCTTTAGCGGACCCGAGGAGAGCAGGTGCAACCGCACACTGACGACCGCTCCAAACTGGCCGAAATAACGCCTCAGCAGCCCCTCCGGGAATTCCAGGGGCGCCCCATGCACGCTTACATACGTTATGGCACCACTGCGATCGGAGACAGTCACAGTGCCTGCACCTTCTGGCAGGGGCAAGGTCCGCCCCTCGTAGCGACGTAAAAACGCCCTATACACCTCCTCAGTCGTTAGCTTAGCAATCACTCTACGGGCAGTAACCAGCTCAACGCCATAAATATCCCCCCACAGGGACCTACAGCATGTCACACAGCACCAACCCCACCTCAGGATAGCCTGCCCGATCAGAAAACTCGAGGCCTATAGACTGGGCACGCACAACAAGGGGGGAGGGGGGCCCCATGGCGCCGACACGTCAAACAGCACCCGTCCCCTTGCAACTCCAGGCAGCAACTTGCAGGTCAGGCGAGCATGTCTAAACCCCCTGGCGGCCAACGAGGCAATCCTGTTTCGGCTCTTTGGTTGGTTCTTGCCGTCTCTGTGTGGGTATACACGTGCCCACAGCTCTGGGTAGCGGGTATCTACTTGCCTTCTTGTGTGAGCAGTTTTGGGTTTTACGTGTCCCTAACGTCACGCGAGTCTTGTTTGACTCATACGCCACTTCCCTCAGCTGCTATGTACTTCGGTTTTTTTTTTGGTAGGGGGGTGGCGGTGTTACTTCCTTAATATGTTATATTGGTACCTGAGTGTCTAACTTGTCTCTTAAGTTGCTTGTTAGTGTGCTACTGTGTTGTTTTACTGTAAATCAAAAAGCAAAAACCACTGCCAGTATTGGACCTTTTTATATTAGTGATGGTTCATACACTGAGGATGACAAAGAAATTAGTGAAATCCTAAAAGAGCAGTATGAGGACATGTTTAGCACTCCGATACACAGCATGAAAGTGGAAATTGAGTTGAAATTGAAATTGAAATAAGTTTATTGAGGTAAAATACACAAAGGGATGAGGTAGCTCAAGCTATTCTCACCCCGTTCAGTACATCGTGTTAATACATACATATACACACATCACAAATAATAAACATATTACCAAACATTCTGAGAGATAAACATATACATTTCTTCCTTTACACAAGTATGAAAGTGGAAGATTCGGACAAATTCTTTATGAGTGATATCCAAACACCTGAAAATATAACTGATATCAACACGACCGTAGCAGATTTTGAAAAAGAAATTGACAATATGCCCATGCACTCAGCCCCGGGTCCAGACTCATGGAATTCAAATATTTATAAAGAAATGCAAAGTGCCGGTAGCACAGGCACTCAGTATAGTGTGGCGGAAGAGCTTGGACACGGGGGAGATACCAGATGCGCTGAAAGCAGCAGACATAGCCCCTCTACACAAGGGAGGAAGCAAAGCATTGGCAAAGAATTATAGACCAGTTGTACTAACGTCCCACATAATAAACGTATTTGAGAGAGTGATCAGGAGTCAGGTCACTAGATTCATGGAGACCAATGACCTCCACAATCCAGGCCAACATGGATTTAGAGCAGGAAGATCATGCCTCTCAACTACCTGACCATTATGACAAAATCACTGAGGCATTAGAAGAAAAACAGAATGTAGATGTTGTATACACAGACATTGCAAAGGCATTCGACAAATGTGACTATGGAGTGATTGCACACAAAATGAGGTCAATGGGTATAACTGGTAAAGTAGGACTCTGGATACTCAATTTCCTGTCGAACAGAACACAGAATAACAGTCAATCAAGTAAAATCGAGTCCAAGGACAGTTAAAAGCTCTGTACCTCAAGGTACAATCCTTGCTCCACTGTTCCTTATTCTCATATCAGATATAGACAAAAATACAAGTCACAGCTTCGTGTCATCCCTTGCAGATGATACAAAAATCAGCATGAAAATTAACTCTGCTGAAGACATTGAAAAACTACAAACAAACATTAACAAAGTTTTCGATTGGGCAGCAGAATATAACATGATGTTTAACGGTGATAAATTCCAGGTACTCAGATACGGCAAAAATGAGGATCTGAAACATAATACAGGGTACAAAACACAATCGAATCTGCCCATAGTAGGAAAACAGCATGTCAAGGATTTGGGAACAATGATGTCCGACGACCTAACGTTTAGGGAGCATAACCAAGCAAGTATTGCGTCAGCCAGAAAAATGGTAGAATGGATTACGAGAACCTTCAAGTCCAGAGATCCCATCACAATGGTTGTTCTCTTCAAATCATTTGTGTTGTCCCGTCTCGAGTACTGCTCAGTACTCACTTCCCCCTTCAGAGCAGGAGAGATTGCTGAAATAGAGGGAATACAGAGAACATATACGGCACGCATAGACGAGATAAAACACCTAAATTATTGGGATCGTCTCTAAGCTCTCCAAATGTACTCATTAGAAAGGAGAAGAGAGAGATCCCAAATAATATACACCTGGAAGATACTGGAGGCCCAGGTCCCAAATCTACACAGTAAAATAACAACATACTGGAGTGAACGATATGGCAGAAAATGCTGAATAGAACCAGTGAAGAGCAGAGGTGCCATAGGCACAATGAGAGAACACTGTATAAACATCAGAGGTCCGCGGCTGTTCAACATCCTCCCAGCGAGCATCAGAAATATTGCCGGAACAACCGTGGACATCTTCAAGAGGAAACTAGATTGTTTTCTTCAAGGAATGCCGGACCAACCGGGCTGTGGTGGGTATGTGGGCCTGCGGGCCGCTCCAAGCAACAGCCTGGTGGACCAAACTCTCACAAGTCAAGCCTGGCCTCGGGCCGGGCTTGGCGAGTAGAAGAACTCCCAGAATGTTATAATAATAATAATAATGCTAATAATAATAATAATTTATTCACAAGAAGATACAATGGGGTTGATGAGATTACTTAAGATTGGTATTTTTACATTCTTGCAAAGCCAATCTAACATATCACCTAAGATGAAAAGGTACATTATACCAAGGTTTTATATCAACAAATAACTACAATAAAAATTGACAGAGGTGATTACACTGGTAAAGATATATGTCTTAAGTACTAATATTGGGGAAGTGGGTAGTACAAGAGATAGTGGCAGTTTGAAGTAAAAGGTACGAAATTATAAGGATGAAATTAGGTACTTTTTTATTTTACTTTTTAATTATTGACTGGATAATTTTTTAATTCATCAGGAGTAAGTTCCAAAGACTGAGTCAATTTTTGAGACTTTTTTTTTAGCTGTGTTGAATATGGGTGCTGAAGTTCAGTCTCTTGTCTATGTATAGGCCAAGAAACTTCCCCTCATATTTTACTGGTAATGTTAACACTGTATATCTGAAGTTGAATTTGATTTGATGATTTACTATCAAATAAAATGTAGTAAGTCATGTTTAGTGTGAGTTTGTTGGTTGACATCCATGAGTGGACTTTTTAATTCATTATTGACAATATTATTTAGTGTGTGGGGGGTTGGGGGTCAGAGTAGATGAAGGTTTTATCGTCAGCAAATAATACAGGTTTAAGAATTGTAGAAACACTTGCGAAATCATTGATGTAGATAAGAAACAGGAGAGGGCGCAAGATGCTGCCCTGTGGCACTCCTACTGTTAAAGGTAGAGTAGGGGAGGTTATGTTCTGTGACTGTGTAGGCTGTTTGGTGGGGCACATGTGTTGGACAAGTGTAAGTATCCTGTGTACTGTGTATGCTGCTGTTGTTGTTGTTGTTGTTGAGGGGCGACGACCACTCAGGAATGGGATGCGCCCTTGCTGCCCAGTACCCGGAAATGATGGAGGGATCTTCAGACCACGGACCCTACAGCCTTTTCAGGCCACGGACGTGATCAATGAAGCGGAAGGCATGGCCAAGGATGTCATAACGATGGTCTTCGTCTCTCGCGCCGGAGACAATTTCTTATAGAGCCTTCAAGTTGTCCTCTCGAAAAATATATCCCATTTTGACTTCAAAATCCACAACAGACCAAATATGATGTACTATAAATCATTGTCGACAAAGTTCACATTTTCCATGTGTGTGTGTGTGTGTGTGTGTGTGTGTGTGTGTGTGTGTGTGTGTGTGTGTGTGTGTGTGTGTGTGTGTGTGTGTGTGTCGTGGGTTAGGTCAAGTTAGGTCTATACAATTTAGCACATAATTTTCTATCCGTTATGACCACTGGAGAAGATGGGGCTGGACCCCCTCCCCCATGCGTGTCTTGCTTCTTAGCCTGGTCGTGGACCGGGCCGCGGGTACGTTGAGTCCCGAAAACATCGCAAGGTAAGGTAAGGTCCTCATCGTCCACTCAACATTTTGACCCCTAAATGTAATTTAGATAACTAGAACACAAAAATAACAAACCAAACTTTCCACGAGACAGACCGTTAACAGCCTTGTGAAAGAGTATAAGCCTCTCAAGAAACTACAGCGATATACAGCCAAGATCTAAGTGGGTCGTTAGCCACATGAGTGGAAGTAGGAAGGTAGAGAGGACGGTAGGAAGGAGCGTGGCGGAACCTCCACTGATCTTGCGATTCTTAGTGTTGATGTTGGCATCAACATAGTCTGGGTCCGCCTTCTTAAGACGAGCACAGTTGTCTTTGTATGGCCCAATACACCCGGCGACGGCCATGACGTGGGCCACGAAAGTCTGTTCGTGAGTCCTGTGGAACAAGTGGCTCATCACACCTGTGGAAGAACAGAACAAAAAATGGCTTTCAAGGTCACCTGCTCATCAAAACCAAAACATTCAGGTAAATGATTATATTTTAAGGTATGAGAACACTAGTGTTCGTGGCGAGAGTCAAGGCACACTCGCCACTAAGACCCTACAGCATATAAGCGAGCATAACGTCATCAGCATATAAGACCCTATATGCTGGTGACGCGGTTAATTTAGCATGACAGATTGTTGGCATCTTAGACAAGTGTTAGGTAATTAGCACAAGTAGGCACCAAGTCTGTTGGGTCATTTAGCATCATCTGTGGCTCAGAACTGTCTAAAAGTCCTGGATTAGGATTCATGAAGAGTTTGCGCATCTTCTTACGAAACGTGCGGGAAATTTACCCACTATATATAACATTATTATCTAAGAAATGTATTATTTCCATATCATATCAGAATTACGTCAGAATCACTACAGATTTATTAAATCTTATATCTGGATCCTACATGACAATGCCACCTATGATCACGTACGCCATAGGGCCCACGGTGTCTACGTGACTTGGTGCATGACTTCTCAAGGATCTAGAAGCTTCTAGAAGGATTTCTTAATTAAAAAACTATTGGAACATTCAACCGATTTCCGGTAAGAATTAAATCAAATCCTTAATAAGAATCAATAGTACTAGCACGTACTACTTATCATCTTTTTATCTTATATCTAATTATATTATAATCACATCTTATCTCAATCATATGTCTAGACAGTAAAAATAATCAATAAATATGCATTGAAGGCACCCTGAGGCCAGAAAGCGTTTGTTTACAAAACAGTGAACATGTGATTCGGTACCTTGCGAACATTTATAGTAAAGGACACCATAATAACATATCTTTATCACCCGTGATTACTCACTAGAACTGGGGGAGTACCTGGACAATATCTATAAGGAAAAAATCCTAATACTTTATCTAACTAAGAGTGTAGAGTGGAGCAAGTGACGCCGCCTCCACCACCAACTTCATCTTATGCTACAGCAAAGCTATTAAGCACATAATCAACTAGCAAAGCTACCAGAATAATAAATAGCAAAGCTGTGACATAAAATATAGTACCTGAACTCTACAAGAGAGTTATCAGTCTGGCCACTTGTTAGACGGCACCCGGCACTCAGACATAAGTATATTGAGTTATTTTGGTGTGTTAATTGGCCAATTACATGCTTGTATAACCTTGATATATCCAATAAGTCTGTTTGTCATTACAGGGTGAGGCAATGCCTCATATTTCAATGAGTTTTTTATTAATCTTACAGTAACTGAACCTTTTCAATTTATCTAGACACTCATGAGATATACAAACTCAGTCATTGAAAGTCAAGCTCAACTGAAACTCTTCATATAAATTGAATATATCTATATATAATTAATCATATACATTAAGTTAACAATTGCTTACTTAATTATCTTTAATTTATCATATAACTTTATCATATTGAATATAATTTCTTGTACTTAGTTAACAGTACATGGACCACATTTAAGGTCATTTAATTGCATATTGATATATATCATACTTCTATAATACTAATTGTTGTGTTTATTAGTATGTGAATATTGACTGTTATAGTTATGGTGCTAGATTGGTGGACTGAGTACATGTTTAGATCCTTGATTTAAACTGAACCAGTGTCCAGTTTTAGAACTGAGTTTATTAAATCTTATCCTTGTATTAACAATACAAGCTGATGTGTAAAATTGTCTGCAGGTGGATTGTGGATCTTCAGTCAACTTTTCCATTCATCCTTGGGAACCCCACCTGCCCCTTACAGCCCACAGTCTGTCATTAGGAAAAGAGGAGCTAGAATTTACGACCCTAGCTAATGACTAGAAAAAGAGACCTGGAGTGGACGTGATGTCAACTGCATACTCAACACCAGCAAAAGTCACAACATCCTTCAGGAACTTAAGTAAGGAGACTTTTGGATCAGTGAATACCGTCTGTGTGAGGCCAGACAGAGTATGTCGCTCCATCGTAGAGCCCCCATATAAAAAACACATACGGAAGCTTGAACGGGTGCTTTCTCATTGCAAAAGTTTCTGTAACTTCTGTAGAAACAACTTTTGCAACGTCTCGTTGAAACGAGACTTGTCCCAGAGTTGTGAGGGATGAGGTACGAAGAGAGGATAAAGGAAATAAGCCTGATGACGTTAGAAAGGAGGAGGGATAGAGGAGACATGATATAGACGTATAAATTTCTTAGAGGGATTGACAAGGTGGAAACAGGAATTGTTTACAATGAATATCAATAGAACAAGGGACACGGATGGAAGCTTGAGACTCAGATGTGTCATAGAGATGTTAGAAAGTTTTCTTTTAGCGTAATGGAAGTGAGCAAATGGAATGCCCTAAAGGAGCAGGTTGTAAAAGTCAACTCAATTCGCACCTTTAAAATCAGGTATGAAAGGGAACTAGGTCAAGAGATCTATCGTTAGATAACCAGTGGCTAGAAAATCGGGGTCCAAGAGTTTGAGCTCGATCCTGCCGGGACAAATAGGCGAGTATGAATAGGTGATTGGTGAGTACACACACACACACACACAGGGGCCTCGTGCATGGCTGAGCGGACAGAGCTCGAGTATCGTAGTCCGAATGGCCTGGGTTCAATTCCCGGCGGAGACGGAAAATAATCGGCAGACTTTCGTTCACCCTTTAGGGTGAAGGGTTTCTTTCTTTCACTCTTTAGGGAGCCGGTCGGCCGAGCGGATAGCACACTGGACTTGTGATCCTGTGGTCCCGGGTTCGATCCCGGGCACAGGCGAGAAACAATAAGCAGAGTTTCTTTCACCCTATGCCCCTGTTACCTAGCAGTAAAATACGTACCTGGGTGTTAGTCAGCTGTCACGGGCTGCTTCCTGGGGGTGGAGGCCTGGTCGAGGACCGGGCCGCGGGGACACTAAAGCCCCGAAATCATCTCAAGATAACCCTGATGCCCCGTTCACCTAGCTGTAAATAGATACCTGGGAGTTGGACAGCTGCTACGGGCTGCTTCCTGGGGATGTGTATTCACCTAGTTGTGCTTGCGGGGGTTGAGCTCTGCTCTTTCGGCCCGCCTCTCAACTGTCAATCAACTGTTTCTACTACTACTACTACTATTTTTTTTCACACCACACACACCCCAGGAAGCAGCCCGTGACAGCTGACTAACTCCCAGGTACCTATTTACTGCTAGGTGACAGGCGCATAGGGCGAAAGAAAATCTGCCCATCGTTTCTCGACGGCACCCGGGATCGAACCCAGGACCACAGGATCACGTGTCCAGCGTGCTGTCCGCTCGGCCACCAGCTGAGCGCCGAATAGTATTACTGTCGTTTCATACTATGTGTGTGTGTGTGTGTGTGTGTGTGTGTGTGTGTGTGTGTGTGTGTGTGTGTGTGTGTGTGTGTGTGTGTGTGTGTGTGTGTGTGTGTGTGTGTGTGTGTGTGTGTGTGTGTGTGTGTGTGTGTGTGCGTGTGTTAGAGAAATATATATGTAGTAGACATAATAAAAGAAAAAATAGATTGGTTAGAAAGGCGGAGTCCAAGAGCTAATAGCTCGATTCTGCAGACACAAATAGTAAACACACACACACACACCACAGCTACAGGACCTCATATAGATCTGTCCTCCACATAATGTGTTGTGGGTTAAGAAGCACTCAACTACAGCAGGTAACAGAAGTGCTCTTATATATACCAGTTAGTCCATTTGCCACACATAAACAAACATGACAGGCAGGGTCCACCACTGTGCTAGTCCTGGTCGAGAACCAGGCTGCGGGGACGCTAAGCCCTGAACTCATCTCAAGATAACCTCTCATAATAGTCACGTATAAGTTGACTAACACAATGTAGAAGCAGAGCTGTCGTGTAGAGTCAACAAACAAGTGAGTTCTGTACCTGTAGCATACACGGCCACGTCCTCCCCTCCATGGGCCTCCTCCCCGACTACAGTGGGCACGGAGGCCTGAGCCACGTAGTCCTTGTGTCCCGTGTCCACTCCTGTCAGGTTGGGCCTCGTCACCTGTATAGGTATGACATTATCACTATTACTGTCGTTTCTTACTATGAACAATCTGTCCTAATAGTGTCGCATTTTGACACATGTTATGTTTAAGACGGAAGAAAAACAATCTTCGTCCACATAGTTTATTGTCAACAACCAACAACAACAACAGGTATCCGGTACATAACTTACTATTTACAAGATTATAAACAAAAGAGCATCTGTTCAAAGCATGCTACACTTAACATGTGTAGTACGTAATCCTAACATTCCTCCCCTTTTAATTAAACTCTACTTCTGCAGATTAAGTCTATCAGGCGGTCGTATGACTCTTCCTGATTTTTCTCAACTGGGGGTCCAAACCTGTTACTTCTTGGAAACATTCTTCTGAATTACTCACTGCAGAGTCCATAGGGTTAACTGTATCCCCATTACCCTCTGCTGCCCCTTGCTCTGCCTCCCGGTCTCCTGCAGGTGCTGCTATCCCTTCATAATTAGGATGGGTATCACTAGTTGCCCCACCCCCACCTGAAGGGTATTCAAAGTTCCCTGAAGCTAACAATTGCTTACTTAGCTAAGCATCAACTCAGCTTAGCATGAGTTGATTTGCATATCTTTTCCAATTAATATTTCCAAAACTCTGCACTTGCATGGTGAAATTCCTGCGTCCTAAGACTTCCCTAATTTTTCCTTCTACCCAAGGCTTCCCAATTCCAAAATTCCTTGCATATACTGCATCTTCCTCGTTAAACAACAATTCCTCTCCCTGAGCCAACTGACTGGCCAAGCTAGTTACCGATTTCTCTTTATCGGGATCTGTCTTTACTGCTTCCATGTGAACTTTAAAGTGCCTATTAAACAGTAATTCAGAAGGAGATTTACCAGTAGTAGAATGAACATTTTTCCTTTGATTATATAAAAATCTACAAAGCCTTGTATTAATAGTACCTTCCATAAACCACTTTAACCCTTCTTTCAAGGATCTCACTGCTCTCTCTCTGCTAGTTCACAAGTTACAGATGATGTGGTGGAATTACACACATGAACATCCATAAATTTTGTGTATGAATTCACCACCACCAGTTAATATTTGTTATCCAAAGGTCCAGCATAATCTATATGAAGTCTAGACCAGGGTTTCCCAGTGTATGGCTAAGACAGTACTGGGGCCTGGGGTTTCTGATAATTCTTAAAGCAAATATGAAAATTTTTTGTTACCTCAGCAATATCCTGGTCTATTTTTTGCCACCAAACCCAACTTCTTGCTTCTGCTTTCATAACATTTATGCCATTATGGCCTACATGCAGCTGTTCCAAAATCTTACATCTTAGTTCCCCAGGCACCACCACTCTATTCCTATACAAGAGTACATTCTGGTGAATACTAAGGTCAGCCTTTACTGCTGCATACACTGATAATAATAAATTATCATTCCAACCATATTTGACATACTTCATCAACAGATTTAATTTGGGATCTTTACCAGTTGTCTTCCTAATCGTCTGGAATGAAATATCCTCAAAAGACATAGATTCCATCAGGGTACTTCTCACAGTGGGTACTTCTCACAGTGGGTACTTCTCACAGTGGGTACTTCTCACAGTGAATGGGGTTGTTTAATTCCTTGAAATCTGCACAGATTCTCATGGATTTCCGACCTGCCTTCAACACTGGTACAATTGGGGCTGCCCACTCACTATGTGTAATTGGCTCTAAGATGCTCTCTGCTACATCCCTTTCCAGGGCTGATTCTACCAGTTACTTGTAATGAAATGGAACTGTTCTTGCATTGAAAAATTTAGGTGAAGCCCCACTTTTCAGGTGAATTTTTGCCACCATGCTATTAATTGGCTTACCTGCCTCCACTGAATATTTATGTAACATTTACAGTCTCCGTGGTGTAGTGGTAAGACACTCGCCTGGCGTTCCGCGAGCGCTATGTCATGGGTTCGTATCCTGGCCGGGGAGGATTTACTGGGCGCAATTCCTTAACTGTAGCCTCTGTTTAACTCAACAGTAAAATGTGTACTTGGATGAAAAAACGATTCTTCGCGGCAGGGGATCGTATTCCAGGGACCTGCCCGAAACGCTACGCGTACTAGTGGCTGTACATGAATGTAACAACATACGTTCGGCACTTTTAATTGTTTTAACTATCCACAATTCATCTAGGCCCGCCAAGAAAATTCCCACCTTTTCCATGAGATCCTTACCATATAGGCTAGGATTATGTGAATCCACTACATAAAAATCCTGGACAATTTCTTTTCCATTATAGCCTACTTTTGCCGACACCTTGTCATAGACCTTAATCGGTATATTATCCTATGCACTTAATGATTTTTTACCTGGTTTTACATTCAATTGTAAGGTATCTGCCCAATCTCTAGACAATGTTTACACTGCAGCACCAGTGTCCAGTTCCAAGAGTATATAAAAAGACGCGCCTATTCGACTGCAACATTGTGTCAAAATTTCAAAGCAATCTGTGAAGAACTTTTGGAGATTACAGTGTGTGTTGCTCTTACGTCCAACAGATGGCGCTGTCTTTCAAAAAAAGCATGTTTTTTCCTGTCACAGGTGAGGCTTTTATATAGTAGATATATATAAAAAAGACGCGCCTATTCGAATACAACGTTGTGTCAAAATTTCAAAGCAATCGGTAATGAAGTTTCGAAGATTTCCCTCACATGAAAAACACAGTTTTTCAGGAAAAGCATGTTTGTTTCCTTCACAGATGGGACATCTATATAATATGTATATAAAAATCTGCTCGGATTCGAATGGAACGTTGTGTGAAAATTTCAAAGCAATCGGTGAAGAACTTTCAGAGATTAGCGATTTTGAACAAACGAACATTTCCATTTTTATTTATATAGATTAACGTAATGTAAACTTGATTGTTCATCTTGTTTGTTTTGCACACTTTGTATTAGAGCCAAGCCTGGATATTATTTTATGTTTTGTAAATTGTTTAATGTCAGTTTTCTATCAAAGTAAAGTATTTTTAAATGTTTTTTCCCTCTGTCTTATCCTACAGTTACTTTACCATGAAGACAAATTGCAGTCTTAACTTTTTTTTTGTTTTTTTAGGTTTATATGATTGGCATTCCATCTGCTCTAGAGACTGCCCGAACACCAATTTTTCTCGTCATAAATTGGGGGCCTGTCCGGGATGCCTCGCTCAGGTAATGCTTCTAGACCCTTCACTTAAAATTGTGGTAACTGTACTTGGCTTTATTACAAGTTTTAACTTTTCAGAACTCTTATTTTTTGAATAGTTTTAATGGTGCTTCATACTGTTTGCTTTCCAGACGTAGCATTATATGATTGTTGGATGACTTTGGATTACATGGTGTCTAGTGGCCACAGTCATACTCGTGATTGGTTGTTCCATAATCTTTGCTATAGCCTGTGATTTCCACCTTATTCTCGTCCCTACAGGAGACTTCTCATTCAGGCAGATCACCCCTTTTGGTACTCTGGTACTTTGGTTGGTCTGTCTTCGGGTCAAGTACGCCCACATCTTTACAACCCAAGCGTAGGAGGATATAGAGGGCCAAAGTTCTTCTCGTACGGACTATGCTGTAAGGTTGGGACACCTACAAGCAGTTCTTGTCATTAATTGACACTTCGCACCCCTATGTGTCGGTCAGAGATATGGTACTTACACAGGTAGGGAGTTAAAATTCTTTTCCAGAGCACAAAGATTGTTAATTCTGTAAGTACTATCTAGTTTGGTAGGAAACCTTTTACCTTTGTTCTCGTCATTTAGAGACAAGGTAAGAAATCCCTGCATCTTTTGGACTACCTTCGATACAATTGTTTCACAATTAAAGTAGGATCCCTCTTTCCCTTAACCTCGTCATATAGAGTACCGGGTACAAGATTCCCTACTTCCTTGAAACACTTAGTTTCATTTTTGATCTTGATCACTTATTAAAGTTAATTGCAACCTTGGTTATTAAGTTTAAACAGGATAGTTTACCGTTGCCATGTCATCCTGTCACTCTGACATTTCATATTTTGGTACATCCACTTGGGTATTCTCTTGCATATATTTGCTATCATTCACCATGTTTCGTCTTTCCACATTTAGGCAGAATCCAAACGATGAAGTGAGCACACTAGTTCGTGCCACCAAGGCGGAGATGCTGACTCTAGTAAATGAGTACAACCTTACGGCCCCACATGGAACCACTAAAACTGATTTACACAATCTCATTTTGGATTATCTATTGGATAATGATGTTATTACAGCAGATTCTCATGAACAATACCTAACTGCAGATAAGAGCGCCTTGGCAGCCGTGAAATTGAAGCTAGAACTCGCTAACGCCGAACGTGAACGTCTGAAAGAACAAGCTGCCTTTGAGAAGGTAGCTCTCCAGAGGAAGGAACGTGAAGCTGCCCGTCCCCTGGCCACTATACAGAGCAGTCAGACATACTCATTACAGAATTAAATATACTTTTCAGTACAATATATACAATATTACACATATTTGGGGGGAATTAAGATCCACTTCTCTTAGGTATGAATGGTACAGAAAGGTATTTTAAAATATTTAATGCATGGTCAATATTTCTTTCAAAATCTAAATTATATTGACTTTGATAGGAAAAATAGTTTCAGAAATAATAATAAAAACAATCAAAACAATTATATGGCGTGTTGGTAATTCTGACACTAGACACTAACATGCTCAAATACTAACATTATTTGCACCCAATATGACCAGCAAACCTGGTTATAGTAGTTACATTAGTTAGTCATAAAGGGATTACAAAAAATGGAATATTTGTGACAACATCATCAAAACAAACATTTAACACCACAAGTATTCCTTAAACTACCAGTCTAAGCATTATAATCAATAGAAAAGTGTTTTCTATGCTGTAACTTAATGAAATATACCATAAACTTATGGGCTCCCTCCTATTGTCAAATAATAGACACAAAATAGAACCGTATTTTGGGAGACGCAGCTCCCAGCGAGGAGAGCATGGAGCAGAATGTAAACAAAAGCGCTTCCTGCAAGGTTTAGCAAAATGCCGCACTGCAAAGGTCTCAAAATTGATCGCCCAACAATGATCCAGCCCAGCGACCTTATCAACAATAACACGAAGAGCTGAGCTTACGACTAAACCCCATGTCTTTTAGTAATATGTGGGCACTGTTAACTATTAGATAGGTTAGATGTTTCGGACTCCTAAGAACAACAAAACAAGGGTAAGCCTGGTCTCATAAATTAAACAATCTCAATTTATGCATGATACATTCATTCATTACATTGTTATGCATTTCACAATGTAAATATTCGGCAGGTAACCTTTGATGAATTGAAGAAATCCCTGAGAGCTTTAACACCTATATAACCTGTACAGTCGCTTCCTTGCTCAACAAGGACAACACAGCCGCCATTAACCTAGGTCCACGATGGACCGCATGTGGCAAACCAGTCTGAGATTGGAGGACCAGCTCTCACACCACCAATCAGCTGAGACCAATGTTTAACCACTTTGTTCTAATCTAATTTTGCAGTAATACTAACACATTTAACAGTAGAACATTATTGAGTAGCTTATTATAATTTGCATTATTGATTAATAAGCTATGAACATAACCCCCCCCCCGCCCCCACTTGTGACCAGGTAAACACCTAGCAGGATAAACTTTTAAATACAGTCCACTTTGAAATAATCTAAATTAAAGTAAATTCAAGAAATCAAGAATAAAGTCAATTAAATGCCTGCTAGGAAATATCCCACACGGCGTTAGATTAGTGAAGTAAACATAGAATACGGATACTTAGAGTCGTGGATACAGAGGCAGAAGACATGGCACAGACACGTCATAAGACAAGGCCACAGCCTGGCCACAACACAAGCCACCTACCTTGTGTCCATCCCAGGTGTAGTTGTACCCATGACCAACAGCGAACATGAGGGTGGTGTAGGGCAGACCGTCCGTCACGTGCTTGTTCCTCACCACACCTGTTGGTTGTGGGTGACTCAGTAGGGATATGTCTCGCGTGTGTATTATATATATATATATATATATATATATATATATATATATATATATATATATATATATATATATATATATATATATATATATATATATATATATAAGGGGTACCACCTCTGGTGCAAGTGTAGGGACCCATAGCCTCGGAGAAGAAAATAAAGAGTACTCAGAGAAGACCTTGTGGATCCTCACTGAACACTTTGATATTTTCTTCTCCTACCACCCCTATTCTTTTGGTATGTGTGTATATTTATCTAACTTTATTTGAAATAAAGAAATATATATATATATATATATATATATATATATATATATATATATATATATATTGCACCTTCTTACTTAATTTGTTCCAACCGTCTACCACTCTGTGCGAAAGTGAATTTTCTTATATTTCTTTGGCATCTTTGTCTAGTTAGTTTAAATCTATGACCTCTTGTTCTTGAAGTTCCAGGTCTCAGGAAATCTTCCCTATCAAGTTTGTCAATTCCTGTTACTATTTTGTAAGTAGTGATCATATCACCTCTTTTTCTTCTGTCTTCTAGTTTTGGCATATTTAATGCCTCTATCCTCTCCTCGTAGCTCTTGTCCTTCAGTTCTGGGAGCCACTTAGTAGCATGTCTTTGCACCTTTTCCAGTTTGTTGATGTGCTTCTTAAGATATGGGCACCACACAACCGCTGCATATTCTAGCTTTGGCCTAACAAAAGTCGTGAACAATTTCTTTAGTATTTCCCCATCCATGTATTTAATAACAATTTTGAAGTTAGAAAGCATAGCATAGTAGTTCCTTAGTTCCAGGAACGTTTGTTCCACTTCGTCTCTAGACACCTCTATGTGCTCTATGCTGTTCTCTGGACTTCTTATTGTGTCTGGTTCTCTGAAGATCTCATTTTGCACAAACACACTTTGGAACTTTTTGTTTAATGTTTCACATATTTCCTTTTCATTTTCCGTGTATCTGTCCCCATTTTCATCTTCTGAATATTATCCTTTACCTGCAGCTTGCTTTTAATGAATTTATAGAAAAGGTCTGGATCTGATTTACATTTGTCTGCTATACCGTTCTCAAAGTTTCTCTCTGCCTCTCTCCTTTCTGACGTGTAGCTGTTTTTTGAATCTTTGTATCGCTGGTATGCTTGGGGGTTTGGTCTCTAATGGTCTATAATGATTCCATGCTTGTGTCTTTTGATCTCCGGCCCTCTCGCAATTTCTGTTTAACCAACCCTGTTTCCTAGGTCTTCATGCCTGTTTTGGTATGAATGTTTGTGTGCCTTCATTGTATATTTTGCACAATTTTACATACATCTCATTTACTTCCTTGCCTAGCAACAAGTCTGTCCAATTATACTTATGAAAGAAATTACTAAGTTCCGCATAGCGTCCTCTCTTGAAATCGAGTTTAACAACTGTTTCACGGTCCCCATTCTCTACTAGATTATATCGCATAGCGTATTTAATGTCCAAGAGGACGTGATCACTCTTTCCCAAGGGAGGAAGGTACTGGATGTCAAATATCTCTTCTTCTTTCCTAGTGAATACTAGATCCAGTACTGACGGAACATCCCCTTTCCTCATTCTTGTGTACCGTGTTGATACATAAATGTCTAAAAGATGAGGTTTACAAATCTGCCTGTCCAAATGTCCGGTGTTCTTGCCTCGTAGGCCTCCCAGTCTATTGCCTTGAAGTTGAAGTCCTCCAGAACAAACAACTGGGATTTATCTTTATCACCTTTTACCATAATCTCTCTCATGACCATTATGAGACCCTCTCGTTTGTTATCCAGTTCTTCCTTTGTCCATGTGTTGCTTGCTGGTGGGCTGTAGGCATTTAAAATTATCAGCTTATCCTGATTCCAGAGCTGCAATGCCATTATGTCAATATCTCGAGGGTTTTCAAACTCTCTTACCTTCAGGTGTTCTTTCACCAGCACAGCCACTCCTCCTCCTCCCTGCCTAGTTTTCCTGTGACGTCTCCAAACTGAGTAGCCCCTTGGGAATACGACCTCATTTAAAACATTTTCTTCAAGTTTCGTGTCTGTTAATGCGACAATATCTGGGACTTTGAGCTGAATTATATCCTTCAAATCCAATATTTTCGATTTCACTCCATCTATGTTGGTATATACTACTTTCAGGAATATGTTCCCCTTCCCTTTGTTCTTTACACCCCCTTCCTTTAATGATTTTGTTGCTTTGTCTTTATGTACCATTTCACAAGCTTCCCAGTCCCTGACACTTTGTAGAAAAAAGAATTCCTTTCTTCTTCATTTCTATCCCCATTTAGACATTTCGCTTCAATGAGGTTCATTTTCAGCTTTTCTCTGTCCTCTTTTAAGAGGTCTTGTCTTATTGACCAAAGTTTGCCATCCTCGCCATATTGCAATTTTCTGGTATTCTGAAGAACTTCTGTCATATACTTCACTCCATTAAATGTCACCCTTAAGGGGCGGTTTTTGTCTTTCTCATATTTTCCTACCCTCCTAAAATCACTGACATGCTCCTTTGAATTTAGGCCTTCTCCTAATCTTACTATTTTTTCTATGATGTTCATCTCTTCTGCTGCTCAGTCCACCCTAAATGAAATTTCCTTCTCTAAACATCCAAAAATTATTATGGACTTACTTCTATCTGCAGTGTTTTGAACCAGTTTACTGTTGGTTACCAGTTCTTTCCTAATTGCTTGCCTAAGATCCACTTCTTGTTTGTCATTTCTGGTTTTGACTTCCAAACACTTCCTTAATAGTCTGTTGCTCTTTTTCAACTTGAGCATACGTCTCTTTTATTTCTTCTTTATACTTTTCTAGTTCTTTATTAACCTCCTCTATTTGAGTTGTCAGTGAAGTTTCCAGTTGCAGATCCTTGCCTAACTCCATGTTAGCCCTCAGGCACCCTTGGAGTTGTTCACCATATGAGTCTATTTTCTTGTTTATTTCTTCAAAGTCACCACACTTCACTTTCCACACCTCATTTTCTTTCACTAGTTCCTTGATTTGCTCCTCCTGATTTGTTACCTTGTCTGTTAATGCAGAATAATCTTACCTTGTTGAAGAATACTTCCTGTTAGAGTGCAAAGCTCACTCCTAAGAGCTCCATTGTCCTCTTCCAATTTAAACACTTTTTCTTCATACTTCTTTTCCATATCCTCAATTAACTCTAACCTGCCAAGAATACCTCCTTTCCTTATATCTTGTGGTGAGAATCCTTTGAAACAATCATCTGTTGGTGTGCTTACATTCCCCCTGGTGGTGGCAGCGGCGGCCATCTTTGTTTTTGTTCTAGAACAAAAACAAACTTTTCCAACTCATCTGTTTTCACTCACCTTTACTTCTTTATTGTATTTTATTTGCTTTTACACCTGAACCCTTTATGTAACCTGAGAACCTTTCTGTAAAGGACCTTTCCTTTCCCTGAACCTTTATGTAACCTGGGACACCACTGTAGCCCTCAACCTGTTCCCAATACTTAGGTAATTCGATATTCCAGGAGCTTGCTGCAGTGTGACCCCTGCCTCCTCCAACTCCAGTCACTCACTGAGCGTCTACTCACCTATTTGTGCTAGCTGGGGTTGAGCTTTGGCTCTTTGGTCCCGCCTCTCAACTGTCAATCAACTGGTGTACAGATTCCTGAGTCTACTGGGCTCTATCATATCTACACTTGTAACTGTGTATGGAGTCAGCCTCCATCACATCTCTGCCTAATGCATTCCATCCATTAACTACTCTGACACTGAAAAAGTTCCTTCTAACGTCCCTTTGGCTAATGTGGGTACTCAACTTCCACCTGTGTCCCCTTGTTCGCGTACCACCAGTGTTGAATAGTTTATCCTTGTTTACCCAGTCGATTCCCCTGAGGATTTTGTAGGTTGTGATCATGTCTCTCCTTACTCTTCTGTCTTCCAGTGTCGTAAGGTGCATTTCCCACAGTCTTTCCTCGTAACTCATGCCTCTTAGTTCTGGGACTAGTCTAGTAGCATACCTTTGGACTTTTTCCAGCTTCGTCTTGTGCTTGACAAGGTACGGGCTCCATGCTGGGGCCGCATACTCTAGGATTGGTCTTACATATGTGGCGTACAAGATTCTGAATGATTCCTTACACAGGTTCCTGAACGCCGTTCTGATGTTAGCCAGCCTCGCATATGCCGCATACGTTATTCTCTTTATGTGGGCTTCAGGAGACAGGTTTGGTGTGATATTAACTCCTAGATCTTTCTCTCTGTCTGTTTCATTAAGTACTTCATCTGATTGATTGATTGTTGCCGCCGAAGGCGGCTAGTTTATTGTGCACCCCATACTCATCCTGTGAGCGGTAGCGCAAAAGCATTACAGAGGGCACAAAAGGTCTTTATCAGACCTCATCTTAGATTATTACATAAACAATTTCTTCAATCCTTCACACCTTATAGATACAATGTCAGCTAGTTACAGAGAAAGTGCTATTACAAGAGCTACATATTTACAGTGTCATCATACATTAATGGTAGGTCTTGTCGTTAATATATAATAGTTTGGCCAATGGGGATATTACAGAGTCATAGGGGAGCTTCTGTTTATTATTAGTCCTCACAATACACTACTTGTTTCTGAATCTCATATGTCGTTCATCTACTGGAAGCACAATGTGGGTACAGTGCAAGGATTTCAGGTAATTTATCCATGGTAATAAGATAGGTTGCCATATCATACAGAGTGAGCTTAGGTTTATCTCTAAAAGGCTCAATTTTACAACAATCCAAGATATAGTGTTCGAGTGTGTGTCCCTGCCTATGTCCACACACTTTACACTTTACTTCATCTAGATCCCTATACAAGCCGAACTGCCAGAGATACTTGCAGCCAAGTCTTATACGAGCTGTGACAACATCTGTTAGTCTACTGACTTTGTTACTTGCCCCATACACATGTTTTACTTCACACATTTCATTGTGATGAACAATGGACCTACTAGTTCCAGTTTGCACTGTTCTACTTTCTTCAAATCCATCTAGGAGTTCTCGTCTAATGACACTTTTAAGGGACCTATTTGATAACTCAAGATTCCATTCAATACTGTCTTTATTTACTGCAGCCTTAGCAAGGGCGTCAACTTTGTCATGTTCTTGCAGGCCAATGTGAGAAGGAATCCACAACATTTTTATATTTACCCTCTTGCTAAGTATTCTTATATATCTACGTCTAGCTTCCAAGACAAGCACGTTATTACTTGATTGCAAACTGTTTATTGCTCGTAGTGAGGATAAGGAGTCAGAAATAATTAAGCTGTCTACTTCAGTGTTGTCAATAATTTCGAGTGCTACCAGTATCGCTACCAACTCGGCTTGCATTGTGGACGCCCAGTTACTAATTCGGATATTTCTTTGAATTGTGCTGCCATCGGGCTGATGAGCAATAACAGCACTTCCTGCCCTCCCTGTAGCTGTATTGAGTGATCCGTCAGTGTATATGGTCTGTGCAATGTTGTTTTCAGCTTGTATATTGTGAATGTGTTCTATGGTGCTTAATTTAGCAGCAAGCTGAGCATGAGGGTTGCTTGTGATTAGTTTCTTGGTGGGGTATGCAGGGGTCAGGATGTCAAAAGGTACTATCTGCCAGGGTGGAAGGAAGTGCTGTACTCTTTCATCTGTATATACATCGTGCAGTCCCATCATTTTAATATGAGTGGCAGTTCTTTGAATCCATTTAGACTCGCTAGTTCCATTTCGTATGTGTTCTAACAGTGCACTTCATCTCCTATTCTGTATCCTATGTCTGGCCTCCTGTTTCCACTACCTAGTTTCATTACTTTGCATTTACTCGGGTTGAACTTCAACAGCCATTTGTTGGACCATTCACTCAGTCTATCTAGGTCATCTTGTAGCCTCCTACTATCATCCTCTGTTTCAATCCTCCTCATAATTTTTGCATCGTCGGCAAACATTGAGAGGAACGAATCTATACCATCTGGGAGATCATTTACATATACCAGAAACAGTATAGGTCCAAGGACCTATACTGTGTGTGTGTGTGTGTGTGTGTGTGTGTGTGTGTGTGTGTGTGGGTGTGTAAATCACGAAGAAATTAACACAAGTAATGAACAAAGTGACAGCGTCAGATCACAAAGGAAGGATTAAGACGGGAATTTCCTTAAGTACTTTCGTATTTAATAAAACATCATAGATCCTTCTGAAGGATCCTTCTGAAGATGTATTATTAAATATTATTAATGTGTGTGTAGCACTGATTGTCTCTTGAAAGGAGGGGAGGTTGGGAGGTGAAGCAGCAGGCACTTACCGAAGATGTCATTACCCCTGGGAGGGTATCCGGACATGGTAATGGCGTGAGAATGGTCACCTGTAACTATCAACAACGTTTCCTCCAGGTTGACTACCTTCAGGGCCTCCTTCACCGCTTCCTCCAGCTGCACCAGCTCCTCCAGGCCTCTCCGGGCTTGGGAGTAGTGCAAGGCTATGTCAAGCAATCCTCCCTCCACCTGCGATGGAAACAGCTTTATTACACAAGTGTCACACACACAGGTGTCGGCAACAGATCCTCGTTTCCTTAACCTCTGTCATATTTCCTGTGATAATTATCGAGTCACTACATAACTACATATGTCGCCAGGCTACCAGATACCCGGGGGTACTGTCACTGGATGATGTCCCCCAAGATGCATTCATTAATTTCAAGTCACTGTATTCAACACAAGTAATTTCTCAAGTACAAATTATATATATATATATTATATATATATTATATATTATATATATATATATATATACTGTATATATATATATATATATATATATATATATATATATATATATATATATATATATATATATATATTATTAAATATGACCGAAAAAGTAAGATTAATAATTCTAACACGAATTTTCTCAATATTTCTTATATTTCCTTTCACTGTCGATGGTAATTGAAAAATCAATTCTCCAAAATTCATTTTTATTTCTAGTCTGACGCGACACTTGAACACGTTTCGTAATAACTTATTACATTTTCAAAGACTTTAGTTTACACACACACAACTATAACCTGCAAACACTAAACAGAGTTCTACTATGCTATAATTTAAAAGCTTTCATCTTACATACCCGCATTTGGGTGAGGTGATATGCTACAACAGTTTTGGATGACGTGAACAAAACTTTCAACACAAGACAGAACACGAAACAATGGGTATAATATTTTGTAAGTTAAAGGGAAGAATGGAAGTAACTGCATAGGGCCTATTGGCCCATATTTCTTGATGCTTCTATATTGGTTCGGAGTCTTGAAGTGGGTAGAATATAGTTGTGCATTAATTGGCTGTTGATTGCTGGTGTTGACTTCTTGATGTGTAGTGCCTCGCAAACGTCAAGCCGCCTGCTATCGCTGTATCTATAGATGATTTCTGTGTTGTTTGTTAAGATTTCTCTGGTGATGGTCTGGTTGTGGGAAGAGATTATATGTTCCTTAATGGAGCCCTGTTGCTTATGCATCGTTAATCGCCTGGAAAGAGATGTTGTTCTCTTGCCTATATACTGAGTTCTTTGAGGCTTACAGTCCCCAAGTGGGCATTTGAAGGCATAGACGACGTTGGTCTCTTTTAAAGCGTTCTGCTTTGTGTCTGGAGAGTTTCTCATAAGTAGATTGGCCGTTTTTTTGGCTTTATAGTAAATCGTCAATTGTATCTTCTGAATTTTGTCTGTAGGGATAACGTTCCTATCAACAATATCTTTCAGGATCCTTTCCTTCAAATGCCCACTTGGGGACTGTAAGCCCAAAGAACTAAGTATATAGGCAAGACAACAACATCTCTTTCCAGGCGATTAACAATGCATAAGCAACAGGGCTCCAGAAAAGAACACATAATCTCACTCACAACCAGACCATCACCAGAGAAGTCTTAACAAATAACACAGAAATCATCGATAGGTACAGCGATAGCAGGCGGCTCGACATCTGCGAGGCACTACACATCAAAAAGTCAACACCAGCAATCAACAGCCAATTAATGCACAACTATATTCTACCCACTTCAAGACTCCGAACCAATATAGAAGCATCAAGAGGAAGTATGGGCCAATAGGTCCTCTGCAGTTACTTCCATTCTTATGCTCTCATATCCAACTAATACCCATTGTTTCGTGTTCTGTCTTGTATTTGTCACAAGTTTGTTCACCTTCTCCAAAACTGTTGTACCATATCACGTCACCCAAGTGTGAGTATAAGACGATTAAGCTGTTTAGTGTAAGTAGAAGTAAGACTCTGTTTAGTGTTTTCAGGTTACAGTTGTGTGTGTAAACTAAAGTCTTTGAAGATGTAATAAGTTATTACGAAACACGTTCAAGCATCGCGTCAGACTAGAAATAAAAATGAATTTTGGAGAATTGATTTTTCAATTACCATCGATAGTAAAAAGAAACATAAGAAATATTGAGAAAATTCGTTAGAATTATTAATCTCACTTTTTCGGTCATATTTAACAACATACATACATTATATATATATATATATATATATATATATATATATATATATATATATATATATATATATATATATATATATATATATATATATATATATATATAGTTGTTCACACAGCCCTAGGTAAAGTTAGATTAGATGTTCTGTCGGGAATTATTTACATTTGCAGTTAGTGGGTGGATCATTTATGGAGATGAGATGAGATAGGAAGTGAAGCACTGTTTGAGAATAGTTCGTTCATAAACAGTGCAGCCTGTTCCAGCCCGTCTTCATAAACAAAGGCCAATTGCTCGTTAATCCAGCTGCCAAGTCTCCCTGTTTATGACGTTCGAATATTTCTGGATCCTCAAGTGTGAGTGGCGGGCGTAAGACTACTGTACTGCAGGGCGCTGAGTGACACTGCAGGATACTGACCAGGAGGAAGAACCCTTGGGGACTCTTCTGCAGGATTGTGATCGCCGTCAGGACCATCTCCTTCAGGCTTGGGGTGCCATCCAGGCCACCATCACGGTCCACCTCGTACGGGGTGTGGATATCCCCGAAAAGTCCTGTAAGGGGAAAGAGAAGGTGTGAAGCTAGTGTTTGACCCCATGTGGTGGGCGTACGCCACAAGACAGACACAAGAACAGCAGAGGAAGCTACAAAGCTGCATAATATGATAAGTGCTGCAGCTGAAGCCCAAGCTCTTATAGTGGACGATTTTAACCACGAGACAATAGACTGGATGAGTCTAACATCACAACTGGAAGGGGAACAATTTTTGTCCCTTATATAGGACTCCTTTCTCATACTGCATGGACAGAGCCCACTTGGGGTAACAGAGTTCTAGATTTTGTGCTAACACTAGAAAAGGACATCATCGATCGGGTCCAGTCAAGGGTTTGAGTCCTCCACATGGCTCCTACTGAATTTTTTCATGGAACACAATTATAGAAACCCATATTATATATATATATATATATATATATATATATATATATATATATATATATATATATATATATATATATATATATATATATAGGTATAGGACAATGACATTCTAGACTACCTTCGTGATTATCATAGAATGAGACAGGAACTGCAAAATACCGTTTCAAGGCGCAAATAGGAGACCAAGACATGGAAGCATCACAAGAAATTTTCTCGCAGGTCATCAGTTAACTTGGTACACTTTTACTTAGCCTTTATAACACCCACTGTCTTATGCTTACAAAACAAGTCACAACCAAAAGGCTTAACAATCCCTGGCTTACAAAGGGAATACTTAAATCCATTAATAAAAAACATGACCTTCATGACAAGAATTCTCAAAGAATTACTCGTTATTGCTATCTAAGATAATTAGATGAGCCAAAACTAAATACTATGAAGATAAATTTACCCAAATAAAGAGCAACATTAAAAAAAACTTGGAGCACAATTTCACAAATATTGGGATCAAATAAGATTTTAAATAACAAACCAATACTCCTGTCCAATAACGATGGTCAGCTTTCAGCCTCAGATTCTGCTATTGAGTTCAATAGGTTCTTCTCTTCCATTGGGTCATCCCTTGCAAATGATATTCCATCTTAAAGTCATGATGTTAAGGACTATCTTACAGGTAACTATCCAGTCTCTGTACCTAAAGCCTACTAATTCCACTGATGTCAATGAGATAATCCTTTCCCTTAAAATTAAGTCTAGTGCCCTTGAGGAGATACCAACGTTAATTTACAAAAAAAGCCTCCAGATCTTTAGCCCCTGTTATTTCATTGCTCTTCAACAAGTCACTTGAACTCCAAAGCTTTCCAGACGTTCTAAAAAAAACAAGAGTAACACCTGTCCACAAATGTGGTGATCTCACAGATGTTAACTACAGACAATCCTGCCTACAACATCAATCCTGCCTAACTTGTCAAAAATTTTTGAAAAACTAATCTACAAGCAGCTTTACTCTTATCTAGTCAAACACAATATACTTAGCTCTTGTCAATATGGCTTCAGACCCAAAAAAGCACTAACGATGCACTTATTAGTATGATTAACTTGATTCATTCAGCTCTTGATAAAAAGGAGTTCCCTGTTGGGTTATTTGTGGACCTGCGTAAGGCTTTTGACACTGTCAATCACCAAAACCTTCTTCTTAAATTACATCATTATGGAGTCAGAGGACACTCCCTGCAATACCTCAAATCTTACCATACTGACAGGCTCCAGTATGTTTCTGTGAATAATTCAATTTCTCCCACCCTACCCATCAACATTGGTGTTCCTCAGGGCAGCATACTTGGCCCTCTCCTCTTCCTCATCTACATTAATGACCTTCCAAATGCCTCCCAACACCTCAAACCAATTCTATTTGCTGACGACACAACCTTCATTTACTCCAGTCCTGACCCCCTTGCTCTAAATGCCACAGTAAATACTGAGCTAAATAAAGTCCATCTTTGGCTAACTGCCAACAAACTCACCCTTAACACTGACAAAACTTTCTATATTCTGTTTGGCAATAAATCCTCTAATCAAATAAATCTCAAAATAAACAATACCCAAATTTGTAACAAATTAGATGGCAAGTTCCTTGGCGTTCTCATTGACCACAAGCTGAATTTCCAGGGACACATTCTAAACATATCAAAAAGTTTCAAAAAACTGTTGGCATTCTTTCTAAGATCAGATATTATGTACCCCGCCCTGCCCTGGTGACTCTCTATTACTCCCTCATCTATCCATATCTCAACTATGGTATTTGTGCTTGGGGTTCTACTACCCAAAATCATTTACGTCCTCTAATTACTCAACACAAAGCTGCTATTAGGACAATATCCAACTCTGGCCCCAGACATCACTCGGTACCCCTACTCAAATCTCTGAATATGTTAGATATTAAGTCACTGCACATTCTCTCATGTGTATTATACACATATAAAACGCTGAACTGTAATGCCAATCCTGACCTCAAAAGCTTCATTGAAGGTTGTAACAGAAACCATGAGCACCACACCAGAAATAAATACAGTTTTGATATTCCAAGACTACGACTTAATCAAACTAAAAATGCTCTACAAATTAAGGGACCCAGAATGTGGAATGACCTTCCCAACCATGTTAAAGACTGTACCTCTCTCAACCAGTTTAAGATAAAAACTAAACACTACCTAATAAATTCCCTGTAACCTACCTTACCCCTCTGTTGTCAACCCATGTCTGTTTTTTTTAAAACAACGCTGTTTGTCTGTAATAATTTATAACTGTATTTGTGCTGCATTTTCAGCCATGTTCCCCCTCTTTTATCTCTATTTTTATTTGTTCTCAACACATTTTATTCTTTATACCCATTAGTATTAAGCTTTAGTCATTAATGTTTTTCCTGCCCGAAATGCTTTCGTAATAGTGGCTTTAGGCATTGTATGTACTAGCTCTATCTATTAATCCAACAAACTTTGTAAAATCTCTTGTATGTATGTACCTTACCTAAATAAACATTTATTTATTTATTTATTATTTAAATCAAAGGGATGTCCTAAATGAAAATGAATCTGACTGGAAAAATGTAGAGTACTGCAAGTTTTCGTTTTGTGCTAACTCCTTTTTTGTAACATACAGCAACGGCATAGATAACAATATACTTCAAACCACATTAGATTTCCAGATGGTGTTAAAATCTATGGTAAAATAGGAAACGGAAACGATATTGAGATCTTACAAAGAGATCCACATGAACTCCTTAAATGGTGGAAAGACTGACAAATGCTTTTTAATATTGAAAAATACAAGACCTTTCATGTAGTGCACAACAGTTGACATCACAGCTATCGTATCAATGACTCTACCGTGCACCAGATTGATGAAGAAAAGGACCCAGGAGTTAGAATTCAGCAGTCATTGAAGGTTATTGTTTTAAGTAAATTCTCTACAATTACTGTCAATCTGGACAGTAGTTACTGATAGAGTTATTCTCCTCATTTCAAGAATCAGGACCACGTTGGTGATCGGTCACGCTTATAGGAAAACTTCAGAGATAATTGATATATTAAATAGTCCACCGAGCTTTACATTTCATTCTTTTATGACTAGCCTATATTGGTTAAGTATTCTGTGTTAACCCCTGGGTGTGGTATCCCACCTATGTATGCTCCCAACCAGTGTTACCCACCTATGAATACTCCCAACCAGTGTTACCCACCTATGTATGCTCCCAACCAGTGTTACCCACCTATGTATACTCCCAACCAGTGTTTCCCACCTATGTATGCTCCCAACCAGTGTTACCCACCTATGTATACTCCCAACCAGTGTTACCCACTTACATATACTCCCAACCAGTGTTACCCACTTACATATACTCCCAACCAGTGTTACCCACTTACATATACTCCCAACCAGTGTTACCCACTTACATATACTCCCAACCAGTGTTACCCACTTACATATACTCCCAGCTAGTGTTACCCACTTACATATACTCCCAGCTAGTGTTACCCACTTACATATACTCCCAACCAGTGTTACCCACTTACATATACTCCCAACCAGTGTTACCCACTTACATATACTCCCAACCAGTGTTACCCACTTACATATACTCCCAACCAGTGTTACCCACTTACATATACTCCCAACCAGTGTTACTCACTTACATATACTCCCAGCTAGTGTTACCCACTTACATATACTCCCAGCTAGTGTTACTCACTTACATATACTCCCAGCTAGTGTTACCCACTTACATATACTCCCAACCAGTGTTACCCACTTACATATACTCCCAACCAGTGTTACTCACTTACATATACTCCCAACCAGTGTTACTCACTTACATATACTCCCAGCTAGTGTTACTCACTTACATATACTCCCAGCTAGTGTTACCTACCCAAGAGATAATCGGTATCCTTAAGAGGGACGCTCCGGAGTTGTCGTGTAGAGGTGACATAGGCACTGGTGGCCCCCCTCTTCTTCTTGTCTTGCACCCACTCCTGAATCAGGTTCCTTCCGTCACTTCTGAGACACTTCACCTTTCCCTGGTTTAGCGGTGCCCCCATTTCCTGGCGACCTCCGCCCATGATCACCTGAAGGAGGCACAGAATAGAGAGAGTGGTTTTGTGACACGTCCAGCAACCCATCAACGTAACCACAACTTTGCAGCAACATCACTATGTTGTGACAATGCACAACGAACAAAATTATTAATGTTGTGACAACGTTGCGCTTGTCAGGACAACCCATCGTCCATATTCAGATACTTACCGTGCCAACATGTATACATACTCGCCTTCTTGTTCATACTGAGTCAACATGTACACGTACTCACCTTCATGCTCCTGCAGGGTCAACTTGTACACGTACTCACCTTCATGCTCCTGCAGGGTCAACTTGTACACGTACTCACCTTCATGCTCCTGCAGGGTCAACTTGTACACGTACTCACCTTCATGCTCCTGCAGGGTCAACTTGTACACGTACTCACCTTCATGCTCCTGCAGGGTTAACTTGTACACGTACTCACCTTCATGCTCCTGCAGGGTTAACTTGTACACATACTCACCTTCATGTTCCTGCTGGGTTAACTTGTACACATACTCACCTTCATGTTCCTGCTGGGTTAACTTGTACACGTACTCACCTTCATGCTCCTGCAGCGTCAACTTGTACACGTACTCACCTTCATGCTCCTGCAGGGTCAACTTGTACATGTACCCACCTTCATGCTCCTGCCAGGTTCGTCCTCAACCAGCTGACGGGCAATATCCTTACAATGAGTGGCATTGTCAGCAATCATTTTTGTGTCACACAACCAATCCCTGTAGGCGGTCTTGGCGTAGAGTCCGGCAGGTGTGGCGTGAGTCACCTGAGTCGTCGTCACCACACCTGCATATACGACACAAGTTATTAGGTCATGACAGGTATGTTGTGTGGCACTGAAGTCCCTCGGTTAACTGTGCCTGTAGCTTATAATCAAACAATCGATCACCATGAACACATACATACATGCATGCATCCAAGTTTCATGAAGTCGGAAATAAAATCAGGGGTTGTGTTTTTCAGAGAGTTTTGATGTTTACTATCACCATTTACCCGGGTGAAATAGTAGGGAAAGAGGTGAAGAAGGGCGGAGGGAAGAAAGGGGGGAAGAAGGGATGAGGAAGGAAGAGGGAAGGAGAAGGAGATATTTAGGAAGAGGAAAAGAGTGGGGAGAGGAAAAGAGTGGGGAGAGGAAAAGAGTGGGAAGAGGAAAAGAGTGAGGAGAGAGGGGAATAGGAAGACAGGGCACAGGCAAGAAGGAGAAAGTCCCAGGCACAGCCGGGTATACTACCCCTCCCATCCAAGCAATTATATATATTGACGTGTATATATATGTGTGTGTGTGTAGTATGTATATGTGTGTGTGTGTATGTGTAGTGTGTATGTGTGTGTCATGAGTATTCGTGTGTGTGTGTGTGTATGTGTTTGTGCGTCGTGTTCATGTGTCGTGTGTACCTGTGTGTGTTGTATCTATATGTGTGTCGTATGTATATGTGTGTGTGTTGTATGTACATGTGTCTGTTGTATTTATGTGTGTATGTGTCGTATGTACATGTGTGTGTGTGTGTGAGAAATTTTATCCACTATATCAACATTATTATCTAAGAAATGTATTATTTCTATATCATATCAGAATCTCTTCAGATTCACTATATCCAACATCTGGATCCTACATGACAGTGCCACTATGATCACGTGCACCATAGGGCCCCACGGTGCCTACATGACAATGCCACTATGATCACGTGCACCATAGGGCCCCACGGTGCCTACATGACAATGCCACTATGATCACGTGCACCATAGGGCCCCACGGTGCCTACATGACAATGCCACTATGATCACGTGCACCATAGGGCCCCACGGTGCCTACATGACAATGCCACTATGATCACGTGCACCATAGGGCCCCACGGTGCCTACATGACAATGCCACTATGATCACGTGCACCATAGGGCCCCACGGTGCCTACATGACAATGCCACTATGATCACGTGCACCATAGGGCCCCACGGTGCCTACATGACAATGCCACTATGATCACGTGCACCATAGGGCCCCACGGTGCCTACATGACAATGCCACTATGATCACGTGCACCATAGGGCCCCACGGTGCCTACATGACAATGCCACTATGATCACGTGCACCATAGGGCCCCACGGTGCCTACATGACAATGCCACTATGATCACGTGCACCATAGGGCCCCACGGTGCCTACATGACAATGCCACTATGATCACGTGCACCATAGGGCCCCACGGTGCCTACATGACAATGCCACTATGATCACGTGCACCATAGGGCCCCACGGTGCCTACATGACAATGCCACTATGATCACGTGCACCATAGGGCCCCACGGTGCCTACATGACAATGCCACTATGATCACGTGCACCATAGGGCCCCACGGTGCCTACATGACAATGCCACTATGATCACGTGCACCATAGGGCCCCACGGTGCCTACATGACAATGCCACTATGATCACGTGCACCATAGGGCCCCACGGTGCCTACATGACAATGCCACTATGATCACGTGCACCATAGGGCCCCACGGTGCCTACATGACAATGCCACTATGATCACGTGCACCATAGGGCCCCACGGTGCCTACATGACAATGCCACTATGATCACGTGCACCATAGGGCCCCACGGTGCCTACATGACAATGCCACTATGATCACGTGCACCATAGGGCCCCACGGTGCCTACATGACAATGCCACTATGACCACGTGCACCATAGGGCCCCACGGTGCCTACATGACTTGTGTGTGATTTGATTTTGATTTCTTTTGATTTTTGATTTCTTTCTCAACTTTTCTTTTCTCAACTTTTGAGATTTTCTGATTTCTTTCTTTCTGACAACTTTCTGACAACTTTCTGACAACTTTCTGACAACTTTCTGACAACTTTCTGACAACTTTCTGACAACTTTCTGACAACTTTCTGACAACTTTCTGACAACTTTCTGACAACTTTCTGACAGCTTTCTGACAACTTTCTGACAACTTTCTGACAACTTTCTGACAACTTTCTGATTTCTCAACAATTTAGAAGCGTTAAGAAGAATACCTTAATTAAAAAACTTGTTGGAACAATCAATCGATTTCCGGTAAGGATTAAGTCAAATCCTTAATAAAAATCAATAGTACTACTAAGTACTATTTATAATATTTAAATCCTATATCTAATTATATGTCCATATAAATCAACTTTCCATTCAAGTCAACTCAACTTGTAAGTTAACTGTCCGTATAAGTCAACTTTCAATACAAATCAACTGTCTGTATAAGTCAACTTTCCATATAAGTCAACTGTCCATATAAGTCAACTGTACGTATAAGTCAACTGTCCATATAAATCAACTTTCCATATAAGTCAACTGTCCATATAAGTCAACTGTACGTATAAGTCAACTGTCCATATAAATCAACTTTCCATATAAGTCAACTGTCCATATAAGTCAACTGTACGTATAAGTCAACTGTCCATATAAATCAACTGTCCATATAAGTCAACTTTCCATATAAATCAACTTTCCATATAAGTCAACTGTCCATACAGGTCTACTGTCTGTATAAGTCAACTTTCCATATAAGTCAACTGTCCAAATAAGTCAACTTTCAATACAAATCAACTGTCTGTATAAGTCAACTGTTCATATAATTAACTTTCCATATAAGTCAACTGTCCATACAAGTCTACTGTCCTTATACAAGTCAACTATCCATATAAGTTAACTTTCCATACAAGTCAACTTTCCATACAAGTCAACTGTCCATATAAGTAAATTTTCCATACAAGTCAACTATCCATATAAGTCAACTTTCCATACAAGTCAACTGTCCATATAAGTCAACTTTCCATACAAGTCAACTGTCCATATAAGTCAACTTTCCATACAAGCCAACTGTCCATAAATGTCAACTTTCCATATAAGGCAACTGTCCATATAATCAACTTTCCATACAAGTCTACTGTCCATACAAGTCTACTGTCCTTATACAAGACAGCTTTCCATTCAAGTCCGTATAAGTCCCGTATAAGTCAACTGTCTGTATAAGTCAACTGTCAGTGTAAGTCAAACTGTATAAGTGAATGACCAAAAATGGAGACACTTGAATAAGTATAGAAGCAGAAAAGACCAGGGTAAATACTGGGTGCAGAACACTCTTGTTGTGTTATGAAACAAATTAGCGGATAACATTATAGATGCAGGATTCATTGCAACGCGAGCAGCCGCTGCTGATGGACGTACACCTCTCTTCTCCACTCTACTTTAAGCAAAGCGCACTACCATAGGTCCCACGGGGGAAACATCTCCCGCCAACACATCACAAGGAGCAGTGTGGTCACAATGCGACCCAAACGTCTTATAAGGTCAGAGCAACTCCAATTGACGGTCATGCTATCGGGAGAAGCAATACTTTAAAGGTCCTGAAGGTCGTTACTGGCCTCGAACCCGCTGACATTAGTCAGGAAGGTGAAGATATCGTGCTCTTCTTTTCACGTGAAGAAGAGCTAGAAAAAACTCCTCACTAACGATGCTATACTTCGCCAGGAGCACCACCTACACCCTCACTTCCCACGTCAGTTCCTGGCCGGAAGAACTGTTTTACCAGCAGGACCAGCCAGTGGATCGGTGAGTGACCTCAACATCATGTCATGGACAATATCTAGGACGAAAATCCAAACCTATCGGTATTCAACCTAGAGTTCTGCAACACCGACAAAACATCAACGTTCACCACCATAGCTGCGGCCACCCAGGCTGCCACACAAGGATTCTACTGCTTCGGCTTACAAATACCACCCCACCAAATAAAAAGGGAACGATACCATGAGATCCAGCAGTGCTTTAAGTGCTACGAGCTCTCCCACCCGACCAACAAGTGTCAGCACCCTGTCCAGAGGTGCAGCCTGTGCGCACTGGACCATCACTACTCCATATGCAAGGCAACAGTCCATCACTGCTTGCTCTGTGATGGCAATCACCCCGCAATTTCCTACCGCTGCCCCCGCAGACAGGAAAGCATCAAGGCCCAGGTTGAAGCCAAGAGAAACAACCCTTCTACCTCCTCGACCAGAGCCCCAAGCGTTCAACCCACCACCTTAGCTCTCACTAGTCGACCAGAAGACTTTCCAGTCTTACCAACATGTGGCTCCTTCCAGCAGGCGACACAGCCTTCTCATTGGGGACCCAAGGTCCCACAGGCTCCTTCACAGCCCCCTGCATCACGTGCAGGCATTATCCCTGGTCTTATTAGACTAGCGGAAAGGCTTGCAGGACCAGACAACCAGCGCCTTGTCAGTGAACTAAACGCATTATACATAGACAATGGCCTGGCTCCCATCATAGCCACTGGCGTAAGTCTCACTGTTTCCTCTACCACTCCGGAGACTACCCCCAGGACGACCAGGCGGTCAACTTCAACACCGACTCCAGAACCGCCCATGACCCGGGCGACGCAGACAGAGGTAATTCCTTCTTCAGCTCCCAACACTCCTACCATCACTATCTCAGCAGCCGCGCTAGCAGACGTGCTGTCTACAAACGATAACAGCACCACCAGCGCTCCTGAAATAGCTACAACCACCAATCAACGACACCTAAGCCCGAAAGACAAAAACGCCCACTACGGAGGTTACGGACTCCTCAGACGAGGAAATCATAGTAGGAGCTCCACCGCTGCATCTCCACAAATACGACACCTACACGGTTCAAGACTTCCTCATGGAGGCCACGTCACCAAACTCCAACGACAGCACTGCTCAGCCAAAGTCGCAGGCAAAGAAAAAATGGAAAACCTAGAGGTCTACACTAATCCCACCAGCTCCATAACTGGTATAGCCAGCCCTCCAGGCTGAAAACCATCATGAAGACCCCCATCCATCGCCAGATCTCTAGTATCAGCCACTGATACAAATAATGGCTCCAAAGAGCCTCCACATACGGGCTCACCATAGCCCGTGCTACTGGAACTTATTGTTCTGAGTAGCTGAATCTAAAACAACAACAACAACAATCATAGGTCCACGGGAGACATCTCCCGTCACGCAGGGTGCAGTCGCACCTCCACACATCTCCAGTATCAGCTCTTGATACTGGTAATGGCTCAAAAGGGCCACCACTTATGGGCTATTCATGCCCGTGCCACTTTTTGGGTGGCTTAATCTTCATTAATCACATAGGTCATTACAGGCTATTCATGCCCATGCCACATTTTGGGTGGTTTAATCTTTATCAATCAATCAGCATAGGTCGGCCCCACTATCGTCCCGAGTTTACCCGAGAAGATGAAGATATCATAACCAATATCAAGGACGAAAACCCGAACCTGGGGGTATTTGGCATTGGATTTCCCAGCACTGATAAAGCAACAATGAAGATATCTTTCTCCTCCTTAGCTGCAGCCACCCAGGCTGCCAAACAAGGTCTCTACCGCTTCGGCATCAAGATACCACCCCACCAAGTGAAAACGGAACGATATCACAAGCTCCAACAGTGTTACGAGCTATCCCAACTCACCAAGAATTGTCAGCACCCCATCCAGAAGTGTAGCCTGTGCGCCCTGAACCATCATTACTCCATCTGCAAGGCAAAAACCCATCTCTGCCTGCTCTGCAATGGCAATCAACCGGCAATCTCCTACCGCTGCCCCCGCAGACAGAAGAAAATCCAGACCGAGGTTGAAGCCAAGAAAGCCAGCCCTCCTAACACTGCCACCAGGACCTCAGCTCCCACTAACCAACCAGAAGACTTCCCAGTCCTACCAAACAGCATCCTCTACTCCAAGCCCCAAAGCTCCCATTATCACCATCTCGGCAAATGCGCTCGCAGATATGCTGTCTCAGACCACCAAAAACACCACTGACGTCCTTGAACCAGCTTCTACCGCCACTAATCGACTCCAGACCCAACCTCAACCTCAGGCTGAGGCAAAAGTCAAACCCGCCAAAAAACGAACTATGCCACAGACTCCCCAGATGAGGAACTCTCAGTAGGAGCTCCATCGCCGAGGCACAACACCTACTCCACAGAAGACTTCCTCATGGAGGCCATCTCACCGAACTCCAATGACAGCACGGCCATGTCAACTCCTAGCAAGGCTCAGACAAAGTAAAAACGGAAGACCAAGAGGCTTTCAATAACTCACCAGCTCTATAATTGGTACAGCCAACCGTCCGAGACAAATCTTGAAGGACATCATACTTTGTAACATTAGAACATAAGGATCTTATTATGCTTTCACAGGCATTATTAATTTCTTGCCACCTTTTGAAGTAAGAGGATTAACTCATTAGCTCCCTCGCCTCGCGTTATTCTAATCACCGAAGCGTCATTTATCTCTGAAATTCTATCCCCAATACTCTGCTTGTCCAATCATATCATCATTTCGTCATTATCTCAGTAATAGTATTTCTTGGGCCATAAGTATAATCTTGGGATTATTCTCGCTGTTTAATTTTTTCCTTCTCCAACTTGTTTAGTCTGCCTTTACCAAAACAAGACATGACAGGGACAGCATAATCAATAAGAGATCTCACAGTGTGCCACGGGATTACCATTGGAATGTGAAATGTGAACTATGACTAATAATTGTGTACTGTATGGGTTTGTGAGCTCCTTGAGGGACCTTATATAGACGATGGTAGAAATAACCTAAGCTACTCTATCCTTTTGAGATGTACTTAATTTTCTCAATAAACTTACTTGAACTAGATGCAGGATTGCGGGAGTGTTTTAAGCGTAGGGTAGACATATATATGTATATTTGGACGAGTTTATTAGGATATAAATAGCAACTGCCTCGTATGGACCATTAGGAGCTGGTTATTTTCTGACACCCATCTATATACTTGGTTGATTCCTGACACCCTACTGTATACTTGGTCGTTTCCTGACACCCACCTGTATCCTTGCCGGCATCCTGCGCCCACTGTAGGATGGAGTCCAGTCTGTTCTCCTGAAGGAGGGAAGCGTCACAGTCCTTCACCTTAACCTTCCCTGAGACTCCAAGGGTCTCATAGTTGGCTTTGACGCCCGTGAGGTAGGCGGTGGCGGTGGCGGCGCTGTCCGGGACCTGCTTGTCCAGGTTGTACGTCTGTGTGTGTGTGCACAAAGACATTATTACTTGGGCTTGTACATGTGATTTATGGGCTGATCAGCACTCGTGAAGTGAAAGTCACGACGTAAACCCATACTAAAATGTCAACGGGCAATATCACTGGACTACCTCAGGCCCAGTCTAACTGTTGCTCGGATCCGTGTCATCACATAGAATTAAATGAGAGAGAAAGAGACAGAAACAGAGACAAAAAGACACTGAGAGAAAAAAACAGACAGTGAGGGACAATGGACAATAACCATAATGGGGTACCTTCAGTAGAGCATTATTAGGGAACCTCTCCCAGACGAGGTATCCTTCTTCACCAGACACTCCTTCCTTCTGTCCTTTCAAGATTCTTCCAGCAGTAGCCACCGTCACTCCCATGCCTGAAGCAGACATATTAGTCAGTATAACCTCCCGTGCCTGTAGCAGACATATTGGTCAGTATAACCCTGCCGTGCCTGTAGCAGACATATTGGTCAGTATAACCCTGCCGTGCCTGTAGCAGACATATTGGTCAGTATAACCTCCCGTGCCTGTAGCAGACATATTGGTCAGTATAACCCTGCCGTGCCTGTAGCAGACATATTGGACAGTATAACCTCCCTTGCCTGTAGCAGACATATTGGTCAGTATAACCCTGCCGTGCCTATAGCAGACATATTGGTCAGTATAACTCTCCCATGCCTGTAGCAGACATATTGGTCAGTATAATCCTCCCATGCCTGTAGCAGACATATTGGTCAGAATAACCTCCCACGCCTGTAGCAGACATATTGGTCAGTATAACCCTCCCGTACATATAGCAGACATATTGGTCAGTATAACCCTCCCATGCCTGTAGCAGACATATTGGTCAGAATAACCTCCCACGCCTGTAGCAGACATATTGGTCAGTATAACCCTCCCGTACATGTAGCAGACATATTGGTCAGTATAACCCTCCCATGCCTGTAGCAGACATATTGGTCAGAATAACCTCCCACGCCTGTAGCAGACATATTGGTCAGTATAACCTCCCATGCCTGTAGCAGACATAGTGGTCAGTATAACCCTCCCGTGCCTATACTTTGCCTACCTTGAAATGCTTCCGGGGCTTAGCGTCCCCACGGCCCGGTCGTCGACCAGGCCTCCAGGTTGCTGGACTGGTCAACCAGGCTGTTGGACCCGGCTGCTCGCAGCCTGACGTATGAATCACAGCCTGGTTGATCAGGTATCCTTTGAAGGTGCTTACCCAGTTCTCTCTTGAACACTGTGAGGGGTCGGCCAGTTATGCCCCTTATGTGTAGTGGAAGCGTGTTGAAGTCTCGGGCCTCTGGTGTTGATAGAGTTCTCTCTCAGAGTACCTGTTGCACCTCTGCTTTTCAACGGGGGTATTCTGCACATCCTGCCATGCCTTCTGGTCTCATGTGGTGGTTTTTCTGTGTGCAGGTTTGGGACCAGCCCTTCTACTATTTTCCACGTGTAAATTATTATGTATCTCTCCCGCCTGCGCTCAAGGGGAATATAGATTTAGGCTCTTTAGTCGGTCCCAATAGTTTAGATGTTTTACTGAGTGGATTCTAGCAGCAAAGGATCTCTGCACGCTCTCTAGGTCAACAATTTCTCCAGCTTTGAAAGGGGCTGTCATTGTGCAGCAGTACTCCACTCTAGAGAGCACAAGCGTTTTGAAAAGTATCATCATCGGTATAGCATCTCTAGTGTGAAAAGTTCTTGTTATCCAGCCTGTCATTTTTCTTGCAGTTGTGACGGCTACTTTATTGTGTTCTTTAAAGGTAAGGTCTTCCGACATGAGTACACTCAGATCCTTTACATTGCCTTTTCGTTCTATGTTATGATTTGACTGAGTTTTGTACGTGGTTTCCGTTTTTATATTTTCATTTTTCCCGTAGCGCATGAGCTGGAACTTATCCTCCTTAAACATCATATTATTTTCTGTAGCCCATAGAAAGACCTGATTTACATCTGATTAGAGGTTTGCCATGTCCTATATGTTGCCTACTCTCATGAAAATCCTAGTGTCATCTGCAAAGGATGATACAGTGCTATAGGTTGTGTTCTGGTCTATGTCCGATATGAGGATGAGAAAAAGTACTGGAGCAAGCACAGTACCCTGGGGGACTGAGCTCTTCACGGTTGATGGGCTGGATTTTATTTTGTTGACTATTACACATTGGGTTCTGTTAGTCAGGAAATTGTAGATCCATCGGCCTATTTTTCCGGTAATTCCTTTTGAACGCATTTTATGTGCAATAACACCATGGTCACATTTATCAAAGGCTTTTGCGAAATCTGTGTATATTACATCAGCGTTTTGTTTGTCTTCCATGGCATCTAGTCCCATATCATAGTGGTCCTGCAATTGTGACAGGCAAGAGCGCCCTGTTCTGAAACCATGTTGGCCGGGGTTATGGCGATGCTGTTATTCCATGTATTTTGTGATCTTACTTCTGAGCACTCTCTCAAAGATTTTTATGATGTGCGATGATAGTGCTATCAGTCTGTAATTTTTTGCCTCTGCCTTATTTCCTCCTTTATGGAGTGGTGCTATCTCTGCTGTGTTTTTGTATGTCACGGATAATGCCAGTATCTAGGCTTTGTCTCCAAAGAATGTGAAGGGCCTGCTGTTGTTGTTGTTATAGATTCAGCTACTCGGAACAAGTTCCAAGTAGCACAGACTATGGTGAGCCCGTAACTTACCTAGCACAGGAGCGGGGCAAGTAACACGGGCTATGGCTAACACTAAGTAACACTAAGCCCGTAGTGGACTTACCTGGCACAGGAGCGGTACTGTGTGGAAGGGCCTGCGATAGTAGTTTTTTTATAGTTCTTGATGAATATGGAGTTCTAAAAATCAGGATCTGGTGCAGAGTGCATAGGCTTTCTGTTTGTGGCTTCTTAAAAATCCAGTGGGGATAGGGTGACGTCTGATATATGATTTGATGTTGGCATCATATCCATGAAAAATTCATTTAGGTTATCAATCTTTAGTGTCTTTAGTGACTCGCTGAAAACAGTCATACTGCTTCCTCAGTAGCTCGTTCATTTCTTTGTTGTCATCGGTGATATTTCCATCTACCTTTTGCAGGGGCCCGATACTAGATGTGGGTTTTTATCTTGATTTTGAATAGGACATATTGTATTTCGGATTTCTCTCTATTTCACTGATGGCCTTTTGCTCTCTTTGCCTCTCCTGGGTTTTGTATGATTCTTGTACCTTGAGTTCAATTGTTTCTATTTCTCTATCTAACCTTCTTCGTTGTTCTTGAGATAGGGTGCGACTCTCAAGTTGTTCCGCGATTCGTTTTCTTCGCCTATAGAGGGAACGACGTTCCCGTTCCAATCTGCATCTCTTCCTCTTTTTTCTTAATGGTATGCGGTTTGAGCATATTTCTAGTGCTACATATTATAGCACTGAAGGAAGTGCTCCTACACCACTGTAGCAGACATATTGGTCAGTATAACCCTCCTGTGCCTGTAGGAGACATATTGGTCAGTATAACCCTCCTGTGCCTGTAGGAGACATATTGGTCAGTAAAATCTGCAGGATAAACACTATACCTGCAACACACCTGCAGGATAAACACTATACCTGCCACACACCTGCAGGATAAACACTATACCTGCCACACACCTGCAGGATAAACACTATACCTGCCACATACCTGCAGGATAAACACTATACCTGCCACACACCTGCAGGATAAACACTATACCTGCCACACACCTGCAGGATAAACACTATACCTGCCACATACCTGCAGGATAAACACTATACCTGCCACACACCTGCAGGATAAACACTATACCTGCCACATGCGTCACACACCTGGCTCCAGACAACTTACCATCACCAAGAAATAATATAATATTCTTGGCTTTCCCTTCATTCTTGGGCCGTTGTAAAGCTTCCTGAACCTCCCGTTCCATCAGCTCGTACCAGTAGGACGCCTCTGTAAGGAAACCAGAGTGAGAACTGTCAGTAGGACGCCTCTGTAAGGAAACCAGAGTGAGAACTGTCAGTAGGACGCCTCTGTAAGGACACCAGAGTGAGAACTGTCAGTAGGACGCCTCTGTAAGGAAACCAGAGTGAGAACTGTCAGTAGGACGCCTCTGTAAGGACACCAGAGTGAGAACTGTCAGTAGGACGCCCCTGTAAGGACACCAGAGTGAGAACTGTCAGTAGGACGCCTCTGTAAGGACACCAGAGTGAGAACTGTCAGTAGGACGCCTCTGTAAGGACACCAGAGTCAGAACTGTCAGTAGGACGCCTCTGTAAGGACACCAGAGTGAGAACTGTCAGTAGGACGCCCCTGTAAGGACACCAGAGTGAGAACTGTCAGTAGGACGCCTCTGTAAGGACACCAGAGTGAGAACTGTCAGTAGGACGCCTCTGTAAGGACACCAGAGTCAGAACTGTCAGTAGGACGCCCCTGTAAGGACACCAGAGTGAGAACTGTCAGTAGGACGCCTCTGTAAGGACACCAGAGTGAGAACTGTCAGTAGGACGCCCCTGTAAGGACACCAGAGTCAGAACTGTCAGTAGGACGCCCCTGTAAGGACACCAGAGTGAGAACTGTCAGTAGGACGCCTCTGTAAGGACACCAGAGTGAGAACTGTCAGTAGGACGCCTCCGTAAGGACACCAGAGTGAGAACTGTCAGTAGGACGCCTCTGTAAGGACACCAGAGTCAGAACTGTCAGTAGGACGCCCCTGTAAGGACACCAGAGTGAGAACTGTCAGTAGGACGCCTCTGTAAGGACACCAGAGTGAGAACTGTCAGTAGGACGCCTCTGTAAGGACACCAGAGTCAGAACTGTCAGTAGGACGCCCCTGTAAGGACACCAGAGTGAGAACTGTCAGTAGGACGCCTCTGTAAGGACACCAGAGTGAGAACTGTCAGTAGGACGCCCCTGTAAGGACACCAGAGTCAGAACTGTCAGTAGGACGCCCCTGTAAGGACACCAGAGTGAGAACTGTCAGTAGGACGCCTCTGTAAGGACACCAGAGTGAGAACTGTCAGTAGGACGCCTCTGTAAGGACACCAGAGTGAGAACTGTCAGTAGGACGCCTCTGTAAGGACACCAGAGTGAGAACTGTCAGTAGGACGCCCCTGTAAGGACACCAGAGTGAGAACTGTCAGTAGGACGCCCCTGTAAGGACACCAGAGTGAGAACTGTCAGTAGGACGCCTCTGTAAGGACACCAGAGTGAGAACTGTCACCCATTACGTTCTTAATTGTCCGTTGATTAATGTATATAGAAGCACTGAGATAAGGACTGTTCCTAATCAAATAGCCTGGATGTGTCACAACGGAAATGTTGATGATATTTTGGAGATATAAGAATTTTGCACCAAGATTGTAACCTTTTGCTGAATTATCTGAATGTCTCTGGCACATTATCTATACACCTAGTCATAAAAGTATTTGTGTGTACATCTGGTACCATACTACTTGTGTAAAGGAAGAATTGTATATGTTTATCTCTCAGAATGTTCGGTAATATGTTTATTGTTTGTAATCTGTCTATATAAGTATGAACACGTTGTACTGAACGGGGTGAGAATAGCTTGAGCTTCCTCATCCCTTTGTGTGTATTTTACCTCAATAAACTTATTTTTAGTTCAATTTCTGTTTCACCTCTGACCGCACGACCACCTGCCCAGCCTGCAAAGTCACCCATTTACCCGTCCTCCTTCACCTCGGCGACAAAATGGCGGGCAACAACATTACCCGCTACATCCTTGTCATCAGCAGGCTGCTCGTCGCGAATGGACTTCTGACAGCTACTGTACCCGATGACCTTCTTCCAGCTTCCACAACTGCTACTGGACCTTCCGCCTCCGATCCCTGAGCCGACCCACAGAGAGCCCTCACTGTCCGACCACAACGACTCCGCGGGTCTTGAGCTTGTTCCACTGACAGGAACGGCAGCAACCCTCAGGACAACTGACCAGGACGACGAGGCCGACTCCGAGGACGAACCCAAGGAAGCCGATCACGATGACTCGAATGACTCCCATGCTTCAGTCGATGTCACCGGCTCTCCTGCCCTCATGCGTCTGCCCGGGCACCATCTCCTCCTCATCCCACACCGGCACCAACCAATCTGTCAGGCTCCCATGCTGCCTCATCCGGGTATATCCGACGTGGCTGCGAACTTTCCAAGAAGAACAGACAGCATATCGCCATAATCCACATCGACTACTGGGAATACAAGTGCAGGCAAGCAGGACGGATCTTTCGCATGGTCGTCCCTTAAGAATGCCTTGACCACCTCTTCGACTACGACACCTTGAAGAAGGAAATTCAACCACACTATCAACTTCCGAGAGCTGGGATAAGGGAACCAATCCACTTGTAACACCTGGACATCTCCCCCTAGACTGGCCGACTGTGGCCAACCAGCCGACAGCCTTGCTGACTCCTGTGGCACTCAACTGTGAGCAATGCGTGTACCCCATCAATTCACCGGTCTGACCAGCCCTATGGTCTTGGATTGGAATGGCCCGTCCACGGACCCCATCCCCAGATCTCCAGTATCAGCTATTGATACAGATAATGGCTCCAAAGAGCCTCTACTTACGGGCTCACCATAGCCCGTGCTACATGGATTTTTTTTCCAATAGCTGAATCTAAAACAACAAGAGCAACCACGCTCCCGCTGTTAAAATGAGAACTCAAGACATCAGATTCGCAATTCAAATACAAGAAATTGAGTGGATTACCTCTTTTCAATACCTTGGAGTCATAAAAGACAGCCAGTTGACATTCACTCAAGAAATAAGAATATCTTCGGCAACGTTACAAAGCCAGAAACTCACTTTTGCGATCCCTGACAAGTCTTAGAGATGGTACTTCTCTACCAGTACTCAAAATGTATTACGTTCAAGCAGTTAGGTCACTCACTGACTATGCTGCTCCTGCGCTTACGTCCCTCAGTGATAACCTTACCAATGGGAGAAACTCGAAGTGTCACAAAATGATGCCCTCAGAACAATGCTGGGAGCACCTATGTGGACGCGTCGAGAGAATCTAAGAATGGAGAACTACTTACCAGCCTTAGAAAACAGGATTAAACAAAGAATAGCCACCATAACAGTAAATCTTGTTGGAACCACTTGCGATGATTTCGGGGCTTAACATCCCCGCAGCCCGGTCCTCGACCAGGCCTCCTGGCCGAACATACACAGGTCGCTTCACAGAAACCTTCAATATAGAACAAGTGCATGGACGGATAATCTAGACAAGATTCTAGAAAAAGTGGACATGAAACGGCTCATTATAAACAAAGGAGAAGATAGTCCATATCAATGCTTTCTACAGCCTTCTCCATGAGAAGAATCGAGGTTAAAGATAATCAGTGAAAGATTACCAGTTAAAAAATCTGCATGTGACCCCGCAGAGGCTCGAAGCAATCATAGAACCACAAATGGAAACCATCTCAAGACCGACAACCACTCACATCTTCACAGATGGATCAGTTGATCAAAAAAGAGATTCTACTGGAGCAGCAGTTTACACTACCAACCATTAAGCTTACTGGAGCATGAACAGCGGGTACTGAACATTGCAAGCAGAATTATATACCCTGAAAGAGGCCATAAATTAGGCAATTGAGAATAATTTACATGATTCATACCAACTCTAAATCTTCACTCCAGGCATTGTCATCCAGTCAGCACAGAGATAATATAAAACTCATCATAGAAATCCTATATATAGGAAAACGAGCACACAATCTAGGGCTGTCAATCACCCTAAATTGGATACAAAGTCACATTGGCATAGAGGGTAATGAAAAGGCAGACTCACTGGCAAAAACTGCCACTGCTCTACCTGTTGTACAGGTTAAAATACTTCCAAGTTTTTTTACAGATTAAGGAGCAAACCAAGAAAAAAGTACTCCCAACTATAAAAAAGTCGCCACAGAGCCAAAGTAGCGGAAGGCAGACCCACTGCGTTGGAGTACGAACAAGCCACTAGTACTCCTTTTTCAAGCCTGGCAAAAAGATATCTAGACACATTACAGTAGCAAAACACTGATTAAGAATTGGTTACAATTGCTGCTGGGAGGTAATAAACCCAATAGATAAAGAATGTTATATCTGTAGAACAGATGCAGAGACGCCACTATTGCACTACTTACTGGAATGTGAACCAACTGAAGCCCTGCGTATCAAACTCAACATTCATCCAACAAGAGCAGCTGCATTAAATGCAAACTCCACAGCGACTACAATGGTTAGAAAAGCAGTTGGAGAATGGCACACACTAGTGAACACTGGGCATCTATATTTGCCGCCAAGAAAATGTTATTAAAACAAAAGACTAAAATCAGGGCGTTAACACAGAAGTGGAAAAGAAACGTGAGAAAAGAAGGAAACTCACTTCCAATTAAAACTGTAACCCAAATATCACAGTAACAATGTTATAGCAAACAAAAGATATATATATATATATATATATATATATATATATATATATATATATATATATATATATATATATATATATATATATATAACTGAAAACTCACACCCCAGAAGTGACTCGAACCCATACTGCCAGGAGGACACTGCTGGCGTACAGGATCCCTTAATTGCTCAACCAACACGACCGGACAAAAAAGGATGGTAGCCGAGGCTATTTCCATCCCCCGCCGGCACTCGGCTGGTAATCTTGGGCATGGTATTTTATCAAATCACCTCATTCTTTGGGGCACACGTGAGGAACACAAATGCGAACAAGCCTGAATGGTCCCCAGGACTATATGCAACTGAAAACTCACACCCCAGAAGTGACTCGAACCCATACTGCCAGGAGCACACTGCTGGCGTACAGGATCCCTAAACCGCTCGACCAACACGACCGGACAAAAGAGGATGGTAACCGAGGCTATTTTCATTCCCCCGCTGGCACTCGGTTGGTAATCTTGGGCATGGTATTTTATCAAATCACCTCATTCTGTCCACTATCATCCCTACTGTTTCATCCACAGGTACGTTGGTAAACAGTGATTCTACGTCTACGTGATTCTACGGCTCTTATCCCTGTGGCCCGTGTTCCCCGCAGTAAGTCAACAAATTCCTTTGGAGACTTCAGGCTGAAGGTGCAAGGGACATAAGGATTCAGCAAGCCGTTGAGTCGCTTCGCCAGTCTGTACATGGGTGTGGGTATCTGGCTGATGATTGGCCGAAGTGGGTTTCCAGGCTTATGTGTCTTGACATTTCCATACGCGTATCCAGGCTTATATTCCCCAATAATCTTTGGCAGGTGGAGTCCGGCTTTCTTGGCGTTCACAGTTTCAATCAATTTGTTGACCTTTGCTTTCAATTCGGCTGTAGTATTCTTCGTTATCCTTTGGAATTTAGTTTGGTCAGAGAATGAGGTTCATTTTCGCCAGATATTCGTTTTTTTTAAGAATGACGTATATTGGCGACTTGTCGCCTCTCCTGACGACTATCTCCTTGTTCTCACGAAGGCTCTTAGCTGCCGCTTTGAGCTCGGGGGACAGTATGGTGCTTCTGTAATTGCCTCGATTCTTTCCTCCTTCCGCAATAAGTTCTGCTTGTAAGGTGTCGTTGGTGGTGACCTTTTGTGTCTCGAGGTCGAATATGTCGTCCAACAGGATCTCCTACTCCACTTTCCGGGCCATCTCACTTGGTTTGGACATAACGTGACAGTTTATACCCAGATTTAGGAGAGTGACTTGGTCCTCAGTGAGGTTGATTCCTGCCAATCAACCTCACAATCGGGATGATAGCAGACAGAGTGTATCGTGATCCGGCCTGTACTCCTCTTGACATACCAGAAAACATTCTAAGGAAACTACTCCAAGCTTGTACTAAAGAGGCACCCTTCTTGAGCCCGGATGGGCACATGTATAAGCTAGTAGATGGGGTCGCCATGGGTTCTCCCCTAGATGTCCTGTTTGCGAACTTCTACATGGGTACCATCGAACAGAAGGTCTTAGTCGACATGAACTTAAAACTGGCCATATACTGCAGGTATGTTGACGACATTTTTACACAGATACCTGATGTCAGACATCTGCAGGAGTTGAAGGAGGCATTTGAGCGGAATTCTGTGTTGCATTTCACTTACGAGATGGAGAAGGATGGGAAGCTGCCCTTTCTAGATGTAACAGTCATGGAAAGGAGCGGAGGTTTCCACACTGCAGTCTACACTAAGGAAACAAACATAGGAATGTGCCTCAATGCCAACAGTGACTGCCCAGACAGGTACAAGAGGAGTGTCGTTAACGCTTATGTCGACCGTGCTCTCAGCCACAGCTCAGAATGGAAGCAAGTCGATGAAGAACTCTGTAGGGTAAGGCAGGTCCTAGTCAACAATGGCTTCTCCAATGGTTTCGTTGAAGACATCATAAGAAGGAAGGTGAAACGCCATGCAACCTCTGAAGAGACAACTAACACAACACCTATACCCCCTATTAGACTATTTTACAGGAACTTCTTTTCCACAGCTCATAAAACGGAGGAAAGGGTCCTGAAAGATACTGTTAATAGAAACGTTATCCCTACAGACAAAAATCAGAAGATACAATTGACGATCTACTATAAAACCAAGAAAACGGCCAACCTACTCATGAGAAACTCTCCAGACACAAAGCAGAACGCTTTAAAAGAGACCAATGTCGTCTACGCCTTCAAATGCCCACTTGGGGACTGTAAGCCTCAAAGAACTCAGTATATAGGCAAGACAACAACATCTCTTTCCAGGCGATTAACGATGCATAAGCAACAGGGCTCCATTAAGGAACATATAATCTCTTCCCACAACCAGACCATCACCAGAGAAGTCTTAACAAAAATCACGGAAATCATCGATAGATACAGCGATAGCAGGCGGCTTGATATCTGCAAGGCACTACACATTAAGAAGTCGACACCAGCAATCAACAGCCAATTAATGCACAACTATATTCTACCCACTTCAAGACTCCGCACCAATATAGAAGCATCAAGAAATATGGGCCAATAGGCCCTTTGCAGTTACTTCCATTCTTCCCTTTAACTTACAAAATATTATACCCATTGTTTCGTGTTCTGTCTTGTGTTGAAAGTTTGTTTTCACCTCATCCAAAACTGTTGTAACATATCACCTCACCCAAATGCAGGTATAAAATCGAAGCTGTTTAAACTCTGTTTAGTTATAGTTGTGTGTGTGTAAACTAAAGTCTTTGAAAATGTAATAAGTTATTACGAAACGCGTTCAAGTGTCGCGTCAGACTAGAAATAAAAATGAATTTTGGAGAATTGATTTTTCAGTTACCATCAACAGTGAAAAGAAATATAAGAAATATTGAGAAAATTCGTGTTAGAATTATTAATCTTACTTTTTCGGTCATATATATATATATATATATATATATATATATATATATATATATATATATATATATATATATATATATATATATATATATATATATATATATATATATATATATATATATAAGGATGGGGAGGGGACATATGTGACATACTAATTTATTGTGAATATTTTAGTTTACCTTGAAAAGCTTCATAGAAAACACCGATCTTTCCTACCTTTTTTAGTATGTTAAGATATGCATCGCATTGCTTCGTAATTACAATTATTACTTAACCTATTATAGGTATAGGTTAAGTAATAATTGAAATTACGAAGCAATAAGATGCTTATCTTAACATACTAAGAAGGTTAGGCAAGGTCGGTGTTTTCTATGAAGCTTTTCAAGGTAAACAAAAATATTCACAATAAATTAGTATGTCACATATGCACGTATTTAGTAAGTCAATATTGACTATAATAAAGTGCGAGAACGGGTTGGAAGGGGACCCACCTAATATAGCCAGGGGATCCACCTAAAACAGCCAGGAACTCACCTAATATAGCCAAAGGACTCACCTTTCTCCTGAGGTAGAGGAGAAGGGAAGACGAGAGCGGAGGAGAGAGCCAGCGTCGCCAGCAACACCATCCCGGAGTACCTCACCCGCTCCAGCATCCTCCCTCCTCGTAGTCTCCTGCTGTGGTAGTTTGGTGCTGGTGCTCCTGCTGCTGCTGCTGCTGTGGTAGTGTGGTGCTGGTGCTCCTGCTGCTGCTGCTGCTGTGGTAGTTTATAATGGCACCTGTATCACCTGTCCGCAGACCAGTAAAATCTTGAACCTGTTCCACCAGTCACAAAAGTAGCAAAATTTTGCCTATATATCGTCTCCTACAACTGTCAAATATGGAAGTCCTCTCACCTTTCACAACTATCAAAGATCGTGGCTCTATCACCTTTTACAGCACGGATTACCTCGAGAACTCTTCCATCACTACTGCGGCCCTTTGAGTGGGTAGCAGCTGAGTTTCTCGGGTACTCGCCTGTTGTACAGCGGAACTGATACCATGATTTACAAGATTAAAGTACGATTGCGTTTAACTCACCCAGAGTGAAATACAAGAAATACGATCTGAGGGGGCAGTGGTTGAATGGACAGTGCTTGGGACTCGTAATCCCAGGGTCCGGATTCGATCCCGGCCGCCGGCGGAAACAGATGGGCAGAGTTTCTTTCACCCTGATGCTTATGTTACCTAGCAGTAAATAGGTACCTGGGAGTTAGATAGCTGTTACAGGCTGCTTCCTCTGGGTGTGAGAAAAAAATTAGTAGTTAGTAACAGTTGATTGACTGACAGTTGAGAGGCGGGCCGAAAGAGCAGAGCTCAACCCCCCCCCTCCCTTACGCAAGCACAACTAGGTGAATACAAAAAATCGCCAGCATCACCGACGCAGCTCTTATCGACATTCGTGAAGAATTCGGAAGAATCAATACATGATATCCAACCGAGAAACCGACGACATTATTACAAGCATATCGACGCTCAGGTCCCTACAATGACTGCAGTTGCAGCTACAATTATCTCTAGCAACGATGTAAACGATGAGTCACAGTAAATTGGCTAAAGATAAGTTGACCAAACCACATTATAGATAAGTTGACGTTTCTCCATCAGAAGATGGAGAAACGATGACGTTTCGGTCCGTCCTGGACCATTATTAAGTCGAGAAACTAGCGACGATAATCAACGACCAACATTGAAGGTCACCTTCAACACGACTACTGCAGCAACCCTCGGCTACAGTAAATTAATTTGTATTCTTCGATAACTCAACACCAGCTGACCAACATGACGCAGGAGAGACATCTACCGCTGGAGCAGTGCTTCGCGTGCTACAAGTACGACCACTCCGCCAGGAAGTGCACGCTGCAAATAGGAAACTGCAGCATCTGCTCCCAGGAACACCACTACAAGACCTGCACCGCCTCCCACAAACGTTGTCTGCTCTGCGACTGAACACGCCGCAGTTTCGCCGGAGTGTCCACACAGACAGGCGAAATGGAAACAAGAAAATGGTAGAGTGGGTCAACCTCCACCACACCTACCGGTGAAATTGGGAGGAGGTGGGAGATAATATTCAATGAATGGCTATCATTTGGTGAACTTAATAGAAAGTGAAATGTTTAATAATGGATCACCATAGACTGAAAATGTTGTCAGGGAAGGTTAATGGATTAAGAAAGAAAGTTACGGATGTTCATTGTTGTGATGGGAAATAATATTGATGTTTTAGCCCTCCAGGAGACAGGGGATAGGAATAAAGGCATATTTAAATTAAATGGCTATAAGGGTTTCACCTTTTCGCCACAAGTAACATAAGAGGGACGTTGATTTATGTTAAGAACTCCGTACCAGCAGAATTAGCAGAGCCGCCGTCAAGAACACAATGTATAGAGATTGTCAGTGTTAAGTTATCATTAAGGGAAGGTGAATTTATTGTAGTTAACTTTAATGTATCCAGAAACTGCTTCGACGCTCACTAATTGATTGACTGATAAAGATTAAGCCACCCAAGAGGTGGCACGGGCATGAATAGCCCGTAAGTGGTACAATTTTTGTTCCGTAATTCTTTTCAGTATTCTGAGGTCGCATTTAATCGTCAAGCCGCTATCGCGAGGGAGGATACTGCTTGACAGTATCCTCAGTATCCTTGACGCTCACTATCTACTTGACTGCATTTATACTAATCCTTCACTGGTCATTGGGGACCTTAATACTCGACACAAGCCTCGGGACATTCGGTAGTATTAATACTAATGAGGTCAAGTGGTTACAGTTTCTACAAGATCATCCAGATACCTGTCTCTCGGGGAACAATGAACCAACTCACGTCAGGGAAGGACGGCTTCACTATACCTGCATTTTATACTCTCAGGAGATTATGTAGGGGGGGGGGGAGGCTCGGGTTGCTCGGGAACTACTTAGTAACCACTTTGCTTTGTATGTTGAATTGCCATTGGGAAAACAAATAAGTCTACCTTCAAAAGAAAAGATTACATATTAACAAAGATAAAAAAAAATTAATTTATTCAAAATACGGAAGATTGGCATCAACAATACACACCTCTCTGCGTTGATAGCTTTTACGAGGACGTGGTCGAGAACATAGAGAAAATAGTACAGAGGGAAAATAACGGGGGCAGGGAAAGAAACACATGGATCTAAGCAATTTAAATATTCCAATGATCAGCAAGTTAAAGGGTGGGAGAGAATGCTGCAGAGTGCACATAAAGAATGGTTAAAAAATGGAATGAGGGATGGAGAGAAAAATACAATGTTGGAAGTGGCCAGGGAATCTAGTCAGGTGAGGAAGGAGGCGCGGGACAGATACTGGTAAGAGTTTTCAGAGCCCATTCGTAATAATAAGAACCTTAAAGACATATGGTAAGAAGTAAACAAAATCAGGGGTTGTAAGATCAAATTCATAGCTCACCCAGACCCAGGAAAGGTTGCTAATGAGTTAGTAGACAAGTGGGCTAGTGCTGCTAGAATGGAGTCAATATCTGAAGACACGAGAAACACCATTGAGTCATGGGAAAATATTAGAAATGGAGTAACGTTGTGAGCTTTCAATACGGGATCAGTAACATGCACTGAGATAACTTACGATGAGCTACTTGATACTATAAAAAGTGGCAGCTCTACTGCTCCGGGGAAGGATGGAGTAACTAACGTATGACATTCTTAATTATTTAGCCAGTATGAACCCTAGTCCATTACTTGATTTGTTTAACATGATTTGAAGGGAAGGAAAGTTACCAAGAGAATGGAAGGAGGATGTCATCATTCCTACACATTAGTCAAATCGACGTTACAAGCTTGTATTCTTAACATCCTGTTTTTGTAAAATGATGGAAAGGGTCTTGTTAAATAGGCTACTCTACCTTGTATGAGATAACATGTTCAAAAACCTCTTTGGTTTTATCAAGGGCAAAAGTACTGCGGACTGTCTCTTAAAGTGTTTGCCTAATGTGGATGACAATGATAGAGTTTTTGTTAATCTGCAAGGAGCATTTGATAAAGGCAATGGGGAAGCAATCTTATACAAATTAGCCAATCTGGGAATAATAGGGAGATTGCTTCATTGGATACGAGATTATCTACAAAGGAGAGAAGGTCAGGTTTCTGAGGAAAGGATGTTTCAGTTAGGCACCCCCAAGGGGGATTGTGGGGTGCCTAAAGTGCCACTTTATTCTATGTATATTAATTAATTGATTAGCATCAGAGTCCCTCATAGACAATGCAGCACCTGTTTCTTCTTACACAAGGCAAGGCAGAATTATAAAACTAGAGCTTATACAGAACGAAGGTATGAAGATTATTCTTGGATGTAAAAGAAATGCAATGACTGAAATAATGAAAATGGAATTAAGTTTACAGAGTGTATATGAGAGTCCTTGGCATTAACATTAGAGTTTCTATTTGCTTCACGAGGAGGGGATAAGCTCCTTCCCAGCGTTCAGAATTGCTTGAATGACGTACACACTTTCAAGAAACGGAGAGAAACATGCTACAAGAGGATATTAGCTAATGACCTCAGGGAATACGATGTACTTATCTGCTGCAAACTTAGTAATAGTATTTCTTAGGCCATGAGAATAATCTTGGGATTATCCTCATGGCTTCATTTTGTACCTTCTCTAACTTGTTTAGTCTGACGTTACCAAAACAAGACATGACAGGGGCAGCACAATCAATAGGAGATCTCACAGTGTGTCATGTGATTACCAATGGAATGTGAAATATAGAATATAATTAATAATTGTGTACTGTAGGGGTTTGTGAGCCCCTTGAGGGACCTTATGTAGACGAGGGTAGAAATAGTCTAACCTACTATATCCTTTAGATATGTAATTCCTTTTCTCAATAAACTTACTTTAACTTGAACATGCTGCAAACCTTCTCGACAGTGTAATAGGTCTGCTCCCTAGAAAGTACAGAAATTAGAAGTAGAAATTGTACCCCTCAAGGTGAAAAAGATTCGTCATAAGCCGGGACAGTTACGGCATTTGTATGGAAGCATGATATCTCGGTTACCAAGAGGCAATAGTTTACATGTATGTTATCACGGGTCGGCGGCGGCAGATGGCAGGGCAGGGTGTGGTGTTCTGATAAAGCAATATACTGAATATGGAATCGTGGACAGGAAAATTGAACTTCGACTTAGTATTTATATATCATCCACACAAGCTGAACTGCGGACATTCTGGCTGGTTTGGAGCAAGTACATCAAGACGAAAAATATGTTTTCGTATTTGGCGATAGCCAAGGAGCACCAGCTTCCATAAACAGTCGAAATCCAATCTTCATGTTCATAGTTGAGGATTGTAAGAAAATGATAAATAGGATACATCTGTAATGTCACAAAGTGAAATTCATCTCATGTTGGAATAGTGCTCAACGAGGTGGCGGATGAACTGACCAAATGCGTCACATCAAAACCACAAGTTGACGCTGAATGTGTTTCAACAATGAGACAAATAAGGAGCAAAATGAGAAATATTCAGTCACAAGCATAAGTGGCGTGGAAAGGTAAACTGCTTGAGAGAAGTCAAACCATGCAACACCACATGTCAGTCAAAACACCAACATTTCACTTATGGTAAAAGAAGAAATGATTGGAGTGACCCTGTACACATGCGGCTCAGGCTTGGGTACATATATTACTGGGGATATGGAAATAGGTGTTAATGATAATGACACAAAGTGTAAATTATGTGGTATTTCTCACACCCTCACTCATTATATTCTTCAT